TATGAGATTAACTAATTGGATAATAATAATTTATATCGAAAACACACTTACTGAACAGTAAAACAAAATTAAAATTATTTCAATATTTGTCACAGAAAAAAAGTTCTGGCCCACTATAAGAGAGTAAGAAATTGACACTATTTCAGACTTCTAAGGGGTGCCAAATAAAAGTAAAGCAACAAAAAATTAAAACGGCAACGGATTTTCATATTTGACACCTAAAAGATCATCCTCAATTTTTTTCATTACAATAAAAAATCATGCAGCGCACTTTTAAATTCATTTTTGGTGTTTTCATTTGGATTGACTCTATAGTGACATTATGTCAATATGTGTTGTTAAATAAGTAAAAATGGCGTACTCAGACAGAGAAAGACAAACTATTTTAACTTATTATCTTAAAAATAATTTAAATATTTCAGAAACGGTTGAATTTAGGTATATGGTATGTTATATGAAATATGCTTAAAATTTTACAAGGAATCGAAAAATAAATTCATACAGGGTGTTTCAATAAAAACTCCCAGGCCAATTATTTCAAAAACTAAAAGTGACATTTAAATTCTGTAAACGCCAGTTTTTAGTCTCTATGATTGGCTTCACAACTGTATAAAAAAATTGTTTGAATAATACAAGATGTAGGTGGCGCCACTGTGCAAAGAATTTTTTCGATGGCAGGAACTTTTAAATTAATTTTTGATCAAATTATGTCCCGTACAAATTTTTGATAAATCCAACATGAAAGGAGATATTTGGGGTTAAGTTTTTTTTTTAAATAATTTTAACGAGTATTTTAATTATAAATATTTTTAATATGCTGTAGCAGATGATCATTTAATTATGGTAATCATAATTATAGTGATAAAACGCTCGTGTAGCGCTAACTAGATTAAAATTATTACGTCCAGTGACGCCTCAGGGGGCCCCTTAACAAATAATATTGGCAAAAAATAATACGCCACTGAGTTTTTGGTAATTTTTATATTTTTTTCGGATTAACCAACTAAAAATATCCTTTTTTTATCTGTTAAATTGTTTTTATATCTTGCTTCGTTTTCGAGAAATACAAATAAAACCATTTGAAAAACAAAAATCATTAAGAAACAAAACCATAAATTATTAATACGCTATATTTTTTGCTGTTTAAAAACAAAGGTGAAACATTAAAACATAATAAAATAAAATTAAAGGATGTTTTAAATTTTATGAAAAAGAGGTAAGAAATTATAAAAGATTATTAAAGAAAATTAGAACAATACCAAAAACTAACTAATAAGGTCGAATGAGGTGTTCAAAATTATTGCCGTTTTTATACACACATATCAAATCGATATAATAATTCGGTTCTGCAAACTTTCAATAGTGTATTTTGATTAATAGCGGCTATAGTAAAGGATGTTTTAAATTTTATGAAAAAGTGGTAAGAAATTATAAAAGATTATTAAAGAAAATTAGAACAATACCAAAAACTAACTAATAAGGTCGAATGAGGTGTTCAAAATTATTGCCGTTTTTATACACACATATCAAATCGATATAATAATTCGGTTCTGCAAACTTTCAATAGTGTATTTTGATTAATAGCGGCTATAGTAACATATATTTTGTTGTACAGGTCAGCCATGTCTTCTATTGGTTCCTTGTAGACTTCATTTTGTAAGCCGCCCCATAAATAAAAGTCAGGGGACCTTGCTGGCTATCTAAGATCCTCATTTGTGCTGACCACTTCCCGAATATGTAACCATTTACAATACCGCACCAAACATTTACCCCAAATCGTGTTTAAAATTTAGTCTGTCGTATCCAGTTAGGATTTTCCTGGGACCAATAGCGACAATTATGTTTATTAATTACTCCATTATTGTAAAACCGGGATTAGTCACTCCACATAATTTGGTTTAATAAATTTGGATTTTCTTCCAAAAGAATATGAAAATGTGTCAAAAAGTTTAATCTGCGCTGGTTATCTCCTTATTGTAGTTGATGCACTAGATGAACTTTGTATGGAAAAAACATATTTCCTTTTAGGAACTTATTGAAATATTGGTTTCATCTTTTAATATTAAAATATTAGTTTCATCTTTTAGTTTTCGTAATGACGATTGTGGGTTATTTTTTACTGATTGGAGGACTAAACCTACATTTTCGTCAGTCGTATCCCTCTTCCTTCTTGGAACCGTTTCCTTTTTAAAGCTACCATATGTAGCTAAGTTGGTACACAAAGCTACAAAAGATTTGCGATCTGGCGTTGGTCTCGATAGCAGCGCACAGCTTCTGAAGCATTTTGATGTCATTCTCCATAAACTAAAACCATGTATGTTCAATTTGTCTTGATTTGTATGGTGAACCATTTTTATTTTGGAAATGTAGAAATTGCAAATTCTTACACTGACACTAAGTAAAGAAAAATTTACTTGATATTTCTAAAATTCATTTGTTTTTATTTAATGATTATTGTTTTCCAGAGATATGCAGTGCAATGGTTTTATTTTTATTTCTCGAAAACGAAGCAAGATATGAAAACAATTCAACAGACAAAAAAGGATATTTTTAGTTGAATAATCTGAAAAATATATAAAAATTACCACACTCAGTGGCATATTATTTTTTGCCAATATTATTTGTTAAGGGGCCCCCTGAGGCGTCACTGGACGTAATAATTTTAATCTAGTTAGCGCTACACGAGCGTTTTATCACTAAAATTATCATTACCAGAATTAAATGAACATCTGCTAAAAGATATTAAACAAATTTATAATTAAAATACTCGTTAAAATTATTAAAAAAAAAACTTAACCCCAAATATCTCAGTTCATGTAGAATTTATCAAAAATTGGTATGGGACATAATTTGATCAAAAATTAATTTAAAAGTAGCTGCCATCGAAAAAATTCTTTGCATTGTGGCGCCACCTACATCTTGTATTATTCAAAAACATTTTTCACACAGTTGTGAAGCCAATCATAGAGGCTAAAAACTGACGTTTACAAAATTTAAATGTCACTTTTAGTTTTCGAAATAATTGGCCTGGGAGTTTTTATTGAAACACCCTGTATATAGGGTGATCCATTGAAAAAAAAATCTGATACTGATCAATTTAAAAATTTTCTTTATACATAGAAAAAAAGTATTTTTTAGTTCCTACATAACCACACTTTTAAATTTTTTGGGACACTTAAAATAAAAAAGTTAAAGGGGGGCGACATTATAGGGGATCACCCTGTACACTGATATCAAGAAAAAAGTGAATTTCCGACGCTGATTATAATCATAATATTATGATTATAATATATATAATAGGGTGTTTCAAAAAAATCGACTTTTTCTTTTTCTTCAAATGGTCAGCAAATTCTTTCAGAGGATGTCAAAACAAAGACCTCGTTAAAATTTGAGCTTTTAATTTGAAGATTTAGAGGTCGCGGATCGCAATTTTCTATTTCCCATTTAAATAACATAGGAATTTTTTTTTTTAAACTTTGGAATTTTATACGTCTATATCGAATCAACTTATGGCAAGGAACATCTTAGATTTTTATAGTAAATTTAACGCTCTATAAAAAATGTCTCTTATAATTTTTCTATAAATTGATTTCTTCCAGAGTTATTCGAGGCCAAAGTTTGATTTCCATCGAATTTTCTCTTTTTTTCAACTTTTAGCATCATGTAGAAAAAAAATCACATATTTATATCTGAAACATAGGAAGTGTTGTAAAAAAAACAAAAAAACGTCACTTTTTTCCAAAGCCTACTACAAAGTTTTAATGAAAATATGAGATGTGTATAATATGCAAAGTAATTTATTTATAAATGCATTTTTCTCGAAAATGGTGCATCTGAGCAATTCAAATCAAGAGTACCTATTTTTCGTAAAAAACTATAAATTCTCATAATTTCATAAAAAAAATTAAATTATTAACCCAGAAAAAAGTTGGGGCTATTTTTGTAACTTTGCGCCCTCCAAATGTTACGCCTATGATTAAATTTTAACAGTTTTGATCATAGATCTATATTCAGCATGTCAAAATTACCAAAGTACCTACCGAAAATTCATTTGTTCATGTTCAACCCTCTAGGAATAGTTTTAAAAAAATTATCCTCTTAGGCTCCTATTCAGGGGCCCGTAGCACCTTTAGGGAGCATTTTTTGATACATGTTTATTAAACAAAAAAAGTGTTATTTTTATACGAATAATGCACTGTTTAAGTTTGGCCCCCTGATTTCGGGACACCCGTATAATGATAATTGAACCATAAATGTTAAGAAATCGCGAAAATTCGATAGAAATAAAACTTTGGTCTCGAATAACTCTGGAAGGAATCAATTTATAGAAAAATGATAGGAGACCTTTCTTGTAGAGCGTTAAATTTACTATAAAAATCTAAGATGATCCTTGACATAAGTTGATTTGATTCAGACGTATAAAATTTCAAAGTTAAAAAAAAAAAATTCCCATGTTATTTAAATGGGAAATAGAAAATTGCGATCCGCGACCTCTAAATCTTCAAATTAAAAGCTCAAATTTTGACGAGGTCTTTGTGTTGACATCCTCTGAAAGAATTTGCCGACCATTTGAAGAAAAAGAAAAAGTCGATTTTTTTGAAACACCCTAATATATAATGGTAAGAATATTGTACCGGGCCGCAAAAAAACATATTCGGTGCTGTATTAACATAATTTTATTTAACACTTTGATTTATTAAATTATAATTTTGTAATCCAACTTTATAAATCATTCATTATTTTGTAGTTGGATATTTTTATAAGAAAAAAAAGCCATTTATTTTCTTAAATCAATTTAATTTAATTCACTGTTTAGTTTTATTTTTTTTGTAATAAAGGATATTTTTTTTAGTTGTTGATTGCAACTTTTTTTTAGATGTGTACATTTTCGAAAAAAAAAATCAATTCAATTTTTTAAAACCCTACTTGCACAGCCCAATTTCAAAGGAAAAAGTGGTATTTCACAAGTTATTTTTTACAATGAAGTGTTACTTTCTTACCGAACTTAACTCTGATGTATTCATGCGGATCGACGGTCCACAATTCGTGATCCTCTGCGGAATAACTCATGAGAGGGAAGAGCACGTCGCGCACTATGGCGAGCATGTGCGGCTTCAATATACGCCAGGTGTACGCGTGCGACACGCCCTGGTTAAGATAGTTGATGGTTTGCTGCAAGACCCTCGGCGGGGCCCACTGGCCGCCCCTGTAGCCGTCCAACAGCCGCAACAGCACCTCGATAACGCCGTTGCTGAACGTTTGCAGGTACCATTCGGCGAACTTGGCGTATTCCTTCGTGACGTGTCCGGGCGAGCCGTAACGTTCGAACATCCTGAACAGGATGTGCAGGGCCCACTTTTTGCATTTCCACCACGGCAAATCGGGCCGCTCGTCCTCGTCCGGCTGCAACGCGGCCGGAGGCACCGCGCGCTCTACAACCTAGATATTTGTTTAGAATTTCATATTTGTCGCGCATATTTCATTTTATATGCGTTTTTGATTTGTAAACATCTAATCTATGGCTCTGCCGTACGAGCTTCCTGGGAAATTAACCGTATGGCGTAAGTCATGTAGATTAGACTGGGCCAAAAATATCGACTAGTTTATTTTTAAAGTATTTTGAAAATATGGTTTGGGGTGTCAAAAAAAAATTATTGTGAAAGTTTGAGCCCATAATATTAATATTAAGAGGTCTATCATCGCAATTTTAATTTTTTTTCCTGAGCGAATCATCCAAGTGAATATTACGCATAATCTCGAGTATAATACTATAGGGTCATTCCACGTTACTCAGTAATTTTTGTCCCGCCCGTCACAATTAAAAATTGTGAGTAAAAACCACAAGTTATTAAATTATTATGTTATTAAATTATTATATTATTTTTATTGTGCTAATAAGCTTATTACAAGCATTACAAACAATATTTTAAAATAAATTTAACGTGTGGTTTTTACTCACATTTTTTTATTGTGACGGGCGGGACAAAAATTACTGAGTAACGTGGAATGCCCCTATACTTTATCTACTCCAATAAGTAGATAATTAAATGATTTTCAAAATTAAATAAATAAAATCTGACATATGTCAAATGGTTAACCTTACTTTTTATTAATTTTAAATGTTATTATAGTCGCCTTCTTCCAATTTAAAACTCGATTGGTTCAAATCACAGTGAATACTGAAATCGGCCAATCACTGATGCCTAACAACGGGAATACTGAGTTTACTATTCACGTTGTTAGGCAGGAAATTTATAATGCTTGACAATATTCACGGAAAAACACCAACATTATGTTGTTTTGTTTTTTGTTTACAGGAGTGTGGATACCATAAATATTTTTGGACAAATATTTTTATATCATATAAATTATTACATAACACCAATATATTTTATAGTATTATGACTAAAAAATACAGCACCCCTATGGCGCGCCGTTTGATTTTTTATTCAGGAATTATTTATTTCTCCATTGAATTTCACATATCTCTAAAATATTTAAAAATATCAAATGAAAACTTTAATTTATTGCATTAAAAATATCATAGGACAAATTAATAAATCGAAATGTTAAAGTGATATTTTTAATTCGTTGAATAACAAATATCATAGGACAAATTTATAATTGGATTAACAATTCCATAAGAGAAATTTATAATTCGAATTAGAAATATCATGGCAGAAATTTTTAAATGAATTAAAAATATCATAGGAGAAATTTATAATTCGAATTAAATATCATGGCAGAAATTTTTAAATGAATTAAAGATATCATAGGAGATATATTTATTTCGATTTAAAAATATCATTGGAGAAATGTATTATTCAAATTAAAAATATCACAGGAGAAATTTTTAAATGAATAAAAAATATCATAGCAGATATTTTTAATTCGAATTAAAAATTTCATCGGAGAAATTTATAATTCAAATTAAAAATATCAAATGAGATATTTTTAATTCGAATTAAAAATATCATAGGAGATATTTGTAATTCTATTTAAAAATATCATGGGAGAAACTTTGAAATGAATTAAAATTATCATAGGAGAAATTAATAATTCGAATTAAAAATATCATAGGAGAAATGTATAATTCGAATTAAAAATATCATAGAAGATATTTTTAATAAGATTACTTATTATAAAATGACAAATAAAACATATTTTTAATTCAATGTCAAATTTTTAATTCTCATTGAACTGGGTTGTAAAAAACGCACTAATGCGGTTTAGTTCATTAGAACTACTTGCAACTGTTAAGCCTCATTTATAGATTGCCATTTTTCCTTCCTTTCGTAAAAGATAATCAATACGAAAACCGTAGTGCTGTTTATAGATTTCCGTATAACAGGGTTTCGTATTGTTCGTTTTTTACGGGAGGAAGGAGGGACGGAAGGCTTTAAGGCAGATTTAAATATTGCCTTCCTTCCATGGTACCATGCTTCCTCCCTTCCTTCCGTAAAATATGAACAATACGAAAACTGTAGTAGGTACCTACTATTTATAGATTCCGTACCCTAATTTATAAACATCACAACAGTTTTTGTATTGTTCATCTTTTACGGAAGGAAGGGAGGAAGGAAGGAAGGCAATATTTAAATCATTATCATTTCGATATCAATGAACGCAGTCCTGTAATAAATTTATCAATAACTGTTTCTTGTTATTAGCGTTATTATAACACATTAACTTTATTAATGCATTTATCTTAATTATACATATTTTTGTAACCGGTAGTTCAAATATATTTACCATCTTGTGAAAATTAACTACATTTAATTTTTGACAGATGAATAAATTTTTTCGCTGTTGCTAGTACACCGCGCGCGGTGTACTATTCTACACCGCCAATTACGTCATAATTATAATCCGTTTTTGTTCCCCGAGCGTTTATTATTTGACAACAAGCTAGATGGCTCAGATGGTAGGGCGGGTGCTTGGCATGCGAGAGGTCCGGGTTCGATACCAAGAACTTTTTTTATTTTTTTATTTCATAAATTTGTTGTTTCTTTGTTAAACAGTGTTCGGTTGGGTTGGGTTGGTTGGTTTGTTTTAGTTTTATTGTAACATAAAATCTACTAGAAGTTGTCGAACTTTTTTTATTTCATAAATTTGTTGTTCCTTTGTTAAAGTGTTTTATTTTTATCGTAACATAAATTTGCCCATTTTAGTTGGGTTTTTTGCTCAATGGGGCGGGGGGGCCAATGGGGCGGGGTCGGTTGGGTTGTGTTGTTGAGTTTGGGATGGTTTGGGTTTATGACGTAACTAACGTGCCTTTAACATTTCGAATCGCGTCACGTTAGCGTATATATATATAATTACATATATAGTTACATTTTTGGCTTTTAAAATGATGACCGTAAACGTGTAAACCATAGAAAAAGGATAGTGTAAACTGACGTTTCCACAAATATGAATATGCGGTGCAGAATAGTACACCGCACGCGGTGCACTAGCCAAAGATAATACACTAGCAACAGCGAAATTTTTTCCCGCGTTTTTACAAACTGGTAAAGATATTTGAACTACCGGTTACAAAAATATTCTAATTAAAATGAATGCACTAATAATGCTAATGTGTGATAATAATTATAATAATAAGATAGGTTAATAGGTATCTATGTACCTATTAATAAATTTACAGTTGCCAGTTAGCGGCACCAGTAGTTCGAATGCACTAACACCGCATATAGTGCGTTTTTTAGTTCAGTAAGAATGAAAATATGACATAACTTAAAAATATGCTTTATTTTATTAAGTAATCAAATAATTATTCTCTTCTATGATATTTTTAATTCGAATTATACATTTCTCCTATGATATTTTTAATTCGAATTATTAATTTCTCCTATGATAATTTTAATTCATTTTAAAATTTCTCTCATGATATTTTTAAATAGAATTACAAATATCTCCTATGATATTTTTAATTTGAATTAAAAATATCTCATTTGATATTTTTAATTTGAATTATAAATTTCTCCTTTGATATTTTTAATTCGAATTAAAAATATCTGCTATGATATTTTTTATTCATTTAAAAATTTCTCCTGTGATATTTTTAATTTGAATAATACATTTCTCCTATGATATTTTTAATTCATTTAAAAATTTCTCTTATGATATTTTTAATTCGAATTATACATTTCTCTCATATTTTTTAAATTTGTTTAAGAATTTTTACCATAATATTTTTAATTTAAATTATAAATTTCTCCTATGATGTTGCTAATTTGAATTCTAAATTTGTCCTTTGATATTTTTTATTCAAGGAATTAAAAATATCACTTTAACATTAAAATTTACCGCATTTTTTAATTTGTTCTATGATATTTTTAATGCAATGAATTAAATTTCTGACTTAATATCTTTTATTTATAAATAAATATCACATTTGCAACTTTAATTTGGGATTTCTGAAATTGATTTAGAGATATCTGAAATTAATTTTACATATCTGAAATTAATTTCACATATCTGAAATTGATTTAGAGATATCTGAAATTAATTTTACATATCTGAAATTGATTTAGAGATATGTGAAATTCAATGGAGAAATAAATAATTCCTGAATAAAAAATCAAACGGCGCGCCATACACCCCAGTAGCAGCTAGTGGCAAAAAATATTTATGCCACCTTTTTGCCAAATCATTGGACTAATATTTAGGGTTCTTGCCAGTCTGTGCAAGTGAAAGTTATAATAATTAATTTTTGTAAGCATATCAGTTTTAATTAAATTATTTAAAAAGCTGGATTTGAACTTTATTCAAACAAATAGTGCAAGTCTATATCACTGTAATATTTAAAGAAAAAATGTTTTATAATAAAATACAGAACCAGTAAAATTAATTTTTTAATATGTATTTTATACGATTTTATCGTAATGTTTTAACATTTCGACTTAAATTAATTATTTGTCCATTTTTAAAAGTGTAACTAAAAATAGTTTATGATTATGGATAAACTGGACATTTACCCATACTTTTGCAATATTAGAACATTACAAATTCACCCTCCCTTTTTAGATTTTTGTCCACCATAGTCCGCACTGTGTGTAGCAAAATTTTTGATGGTATAATAATATTTTTATAAGACGTATTCGTCAGTTATCTGCAAATTTTTCTCATAAAAATAAAAATAATAAATTATATAGTTTTACCACCAAAAGATGCTCTTTCAGTGCTTGTTTTCGTAAAGTACGCACCTAATTTAAGAATTTTCTTATAATAATAATATTAATCTTTATTTTCTTAATTTGACAAACAGTATTTGTATAGGAATGGTCAGTTCTCACCTAAAGCAATAAATATGTTTACCTAAAGATTACACATCTTTCAGCACTCAATGTTTTTTTACCAATATGTAAATTATTGTATATTTTTTATAATTACCTGTCTGCAAATTTCCATCCACTGAGCAAAAGCCTCTTTAGTTATCAAGTCCAACGGTAAAACGTATTGTGTGAGAGCGAAATAAATCTTAAGCCCTTCCTTTTGCAAAAGCACCGACTGTTCAGACGGGTCCGGCAACAGTCTCACCTCCAACTGATACAACTGAGGCAGCAACAGGTTCATAGCCTCGTGCAGGGGCGCCCTTTCCTCAACTTTACGATACTCGAAATTTTTTACCAACTGATAGAGGCACAGGAAGGCGCCATGCCAACCGGCAGGGTCAGGATTCGAAAGATACACGCTAATCTATAAATAGAGGAAAACACGGGTTTACTAAATTTTATTTCAAAATTATTATTATTATTATTTATTTGTTGGATTTTAAAATCCAAATTTAATATAAACACTATAAAAAATGTCAACCTATTTAATTTATTAATTTGAGGTAGGTATTTTAATATACCCAAATAAATTAAAACAAAATTTGCTATAAAAATAAACGTTTGTTTGAGAAACATCAACAACTCATTTACAATTTATTTGTGTCTAAAAACACGTGAAACAAAGATTTGGTTTGTTTGTTGTAAGATTTAGGAACTAATCACAATCAATGCCAAACCTTAAACTTTATTTTAACAATTCCTAAAAATAGACGGAAATTGTTTGGTGAAACGCAATACATAGAAGCGCTAGATAAAGAAAGACATTTTACATGTCTGTTTGTTTTTTCAGAAATTATGTAATGACATTGATCTTAAAGTTTAATCGATAAAGAGCCGCTTGTGCGACGTCCAAATGAACAAACAAAATCTATTTTGATAAAATGTCTGACTTCAATATATAACATTATAAGTTAAACTGCCCTAGATAATGATTGTGTCATTTTTTTAAATAATTGAAATAACACTGGTCGACAAAATATTTTTTTTTTTGTTTGCCACAGGGGAGCCAACAATTTTTCTAGGGTAATTTGGTTGCGCAAATTCCAAAAATGATCATTATTAAATTTTTTCTAAATCAACCTTTGTTTTCGAGATATTGTGAACAAAAAATTGGTTTAATGATATACTTTAATCAATCTACGAGTCCTAATTTAACTAAAAGAATAAATTATACACATTCATAAAAAAGTCTCTAAAAAAGCTATTTTGGCAAAAATTCGACGATTTTTTAAGTTCAAAGTGATGTTATGCAAACAAATTTTGCCCATTTTAATAAAATTTACAAAAAATTGATAAAACTACAAACAAACCGGGGTGGAAACTTTCTATAGGCCCACACAGGGTGTCCCAAAAGTCAACAATATCCTTTGGAGGACTGATACCCCAACCAATCAGAAAATCAAAACATGACCTTCGTAAAAAATCGTTACTTTTTGAGATCTAAGGTGTCAAGTTTTACAAAATTCATAAAAATGTCAATATCTCAAAAACGAACGATTTTTTACTAATTTACCATTGTAACGGGTGCGACACCAAAAATGCGTGATAATAAAGTGTTGTTCATATATATATCAAGATACGTTAATATGAAAAAATAGTATGAAAAATTAGGTATTTAACTCAAACTAAATGTCAATAAAAACTTCTATAGAAAACCTTTTATAACGTCATGAATAGCGTAACGGGCGTAAGTTTGCTTCTAAAGTTGATACTGTAAAATTTTGGATGAAAGCATAAAGTAATAATTTTTTTTGTTAAACTTGAATAGTAACCTTAAACAAGCACGTATTTTAAATGCACAAAAATTGCATACTTAATTTTCTAAAATTTTCACAAAATGTAACGGGTGCGACATTTGAACATTTTATCGAGTATTGAAACTCTTCCGTGTTTATTCTTAATGTTAGCTTCTTAGCATCACAATGTACGAATATTTTAAGGTTATAAATTACGTCGAAATTAAACTATATGACTTCAGAAATAGTTGTTGTTTTGTTAAATATCACGTTTGATTTTTTTTCTGATTGGTCATGAGTTGGAATATCAGTCCTCCAAAGGATAATGTTGACTTTTGGGTCATCCTGTACAATTAATTGGGTACTTTTAAATAGGTACTATGCTCCACACGCGAATGCCCGGTGGCCTGCGCTACCATGGTGGTCTGCTGGACTTGTTATGGTATGCAAATAGAAAAAAGATTTTTATACCAAACAAACAGTTTTTTTCAAGTTATATCACTAAACACTAAAATAAATTAAAAAAAAAAGAAAGTTTTAATTGACTCCCGTAAAAAAATCTAAAACACGTATTTTTTATGCTAACCCTTAACCAAGAAGTCGCAGGTGGAAACCCTAAACCGTGGGAATATTTTGGATGCTTTCGTAATTATTTTTCCATTTCTTTGAAAATCCAATGATCCGGAGCCACTTCGATAAAATGCAATTTTAGTCAATTTAAAAATTATCGGAAGGGGAGATCAGCTCGGATTTATAGAGGAACAGAAACATAATTACAAAAGCATCCAAAAAAGCCCCCTCTCGCAGTTTTTGTCTTGATTTATTTGTGATAATACTTTCCTTTAATATTACTGTAAAGTGACGTAAATTTGGAAGCTTTTATGCTGATTGCTGTGGAGAGAAAGGTGCAAAATGGTTTAGATTGTGACTTAATAATTGAACTAGCTGAAAACAGTTCTTTGTTGCGAAGAGAGTTATCACGGGACGTTTTATCAGTCGAGGTATTTAATTGTGATGTATTTTTACAATTTATATAAAATTGGCTTGGGCCTGGACTGCTCTACCATCAAGTCCAGGCCTGCATTGATTCAGCCAGCACGCCCCTGTACGGAACGCAGTCTTTTTAAAATTTGGCATTTAAGGCTTTTCAGGTTATGTATCTGTCAAAGTATAGTCAATGAAGTTAATAATATTTATAGTTTTACCGCTTATCTTTAAGCGTTAAAAAATAATAAATCTTTATAGTATAACAATAACAATGGTTGGTTTAAGAATTTAGGAATATAAATACTGCATTTAATGAAATTACAAAGTGTAAGGTGCAATATAAGTGATATTTTTGTGCATTTGGTCTACATTTCTCCATAAAATAGTTTTAACTAAACAGCATTTATTAAAAAAAATCCAACTTATCTGTTATGAAATAAGAATATCTGTATCAAAGGTAGGTTAATGTATTAGAACAAAAAATATCATCTAATTTTATTTTAAGGTTAGAAAAATCTATTTTGACCAAAATAAATTAGTGGATTATTTGGAAGAGTGTGTTAATATGATCATAATTTAATTTAATTTATTTAATTGTTGAATATGATTCAAATTAAATTGAATCTTTTATACTTCTAATGACAAAACTTGTGCATACCTCTCGGCATACCTACTTTAAGTTAGATTTTAAGAAAACAAACAATTTTTAGAGACACTTGCAATTTGAAAATATTTAATACTCCCATGACATGTGATTTATTAAAATATTAAAGTTATAATGATTTTTCGATGTAGATGAAATTCAGTCGAAGCTTTTTAACTATTTGTATTGACAAAACCTTTAATACAGATATTCTTATTCCATAATAGAGAAGCTAGATTTTTTTTTAATAAATGCTGTTTAGTTAAAATTATTTTATGGAGAAAACCAGATATTTGGACCAAATGCACAAAAATATTACTTATTTGGCACCATACACTTTAGAATTTCATTAAATGCAGTATTATTTCTTTCGTTGACTATACTTTGACAGATACTATCGCTAACAAAAAAAACTCATACAGCTATATTGTGGCTGTGTGAATAAAACTTTTCCGTCAATGTCAAGCTGACATCGAGCTTTGTCACATCCATTATGACTTTTTTAACAACATTTTCAACCAAACAATGCAGACGAACTCTGGCAAGCCATTGAAGCCATTTGGAACGAGATAAAGCAAGACGGCGACTTCCATGCTTTGCCGTTTGCGGGCAGTAATTGACAAAAACAGAGGGATGACGAAATACCTATTATTATTTTTTCAAAATTCAACCTAACTTTGTATTTAATTTTAGACCTTTCAAATGTGACGTATCATGTTAAAAGCCATAATTACTCCATCGAAATGATAGAAAATCAGGAACACTAGTGATAGTACATAACCTGAAAAGCCTTAAATGCCAAATTTTTAAAAGACTGCGGTCCGTACGTGGTCACGTGGTGGGACTTTGAGGTGTGAAGCATAGTACATAATTTTCATTACTCTACGAGTTCTTTAAGTCTAAAGTTTAGGACAATTTTCTTTTGCAATTTTTGAAATTTTTAAATATCCTTGTTGAATTAATATTATACATATTACTTATAACTCTTGTTAAATTTATTTTACTTACATTTTCCAAAAAGTTTTTAAAATTTTATGAGTTAAAGAGTTAAAGCATCATTTTCACCTGTTTTCGGTAAAATCTTGAATTAATATATGACTATTCTGAAAAAAAACTTACCTTGTCTACGATTTGCGTCCACCTTCCTGGAAAATCATGTTTGACCATGTTGTTTACGCACGTGCATAGCTGCGTGCGTATCAGTTCTGGCGCGTGCACGACCGCGTCGACGATCTGTTCGCGAATCAGGGCTCGGTCTTGTTCGTGCAACGCGAACGCTTGCACCTCGCCCGGTTCCGGTTCGCGGTCGTGCCAGTTTTGCGATACCAAATTTTTCAGGTAGATGGCGCCGGCTTGGCGCACCGGCATGTCGCACTCGCCCAGCATGACCACTTGCAGCAGGCTCGGCGCGAAGCCTATTATTTTGTGAATCTGAAATAAAAACATATTTTATAAATGAAACGTTTATATCAGTTTTGTGTTATCTGCTGAAGTAGATGGATCGGCTATCCTTGAGTGGATAATATGAAACTCATCGCATAAAATTTATTAATGCCATAAATAAGTTGATAATTGTTGAATCTACAATAGATTGGTAAAGATGCAAGGGATTTCCACAAAGGATGATCGTTATATTGAAGGACTGAATATATTTCTGCAAACAGCCATTTGGTGCCTAGTCGGTTTTTTTTTAAATTTTTTTTTGCCTCGTAACTTCCGCTGCTAATATCATGATTTTGTATGTGTAAAAGTGGAATAAAAGTGACTTCCGCTGCTGATATAAGCTTTATTGAATAAACTCTAAAAAAGACAAAAATGATAGTGATGGACATAAGTGAATAAAAAGACTATAAGTGAAAAAAGAATCTAAAAGTGACATAAATAATAATAATTAATAAACTATAAAACCAAGAAGAAAAGGAGAAGCTATAGGTTATCCTAGACTCGCTTGTTCCAGTATAATAATTACACATTTAAGCTGGCTAAATCCTGGATGGGAAAGGCCAAACCAAACAAAGAAGAAGAAGAAACGTTTATATAAAATCATAACGGCCGAAACGCACGAATTACAAAACTGTTTTTATAAAAAAATTGTAGATAATTTATTATACAAGGTGTCCCTAAATTTAGTGGCATAAAGCAAGCAAGTCAAATTAAAACGAAAATCTAAATAAATATTTTTCCTAATTACGTATGTTTAAAAGATACAGGGTGATAAAGTGTTACTTATCATATGAGTTTTTTTTTAATATAACTTCTACTGTGGTAGACTTGGAAAGGTGATATTTTGCGAACAGTCACTTACTACCAAAACACTTATTCACACATAATTGCAATTGTTCGAGTGAACACAGCGTCGTAGAAACAGGGGTTGCATAAGCTTATTGTCCCATACAAACTTTGAGGTTAGGTTTTTATACCATTTGATGCAATTTTTCGATTACTCAGTTTGGCTACTATTAAAAAGGTGTACCTCTCAAACTTCGATAAAATAAACCGTTTCCGAGATATTCGAGATTTCAATAATTGTTATATCGCATTAAAGGACTAGAAGGTATATGATAAAAAAAATTTAATTGAAAAAACTATAATTTTTTTATGTGACGGTCAGGGCAAAAAGTCCTAAGGCTCATGGAATGCCCTTTTTAGTTTATCCAATTAAAAAATAAAAATTGTTATCATATACCTTTTAATCCTTTTAAATAACGCGATATAACAATTATTGTAATCTCGGAAATATCTCGGAAACGGTTTATTTTATCGAAGTTTGAGAGGTACACCTTTTTAATGGTAGACGAACTGTGTAATCGAAAAATTGCATCAAATGTTAAAAAACCTAACCTCAAAGTTTGTATGGGACAATAAGCTTAAATCAACCCCCGTTTCTACGACACTGTGTTCACTCAAACAATTGTAATTATGTGTGAATATGTGTTTTGGTTGTAAGTGAAGTTCGCAAAATATTACCTTTCCAAGACTACCATAGTAGAAGTTATATTAAAAAAACTGATATGATAAGTAACACTTTATCACCCTGTATCTTGGAAACATAAGTAATTAGGAAAAATATTTATTTAGGTTTTCGTCTTATTTTGACTTGCTCAATCTTTTCCTAAATTTATGCCAATAAGTTTAGGGACACCTTGTATAATATTTTGGCATCAAAATTGTCCAAAATATTCTTCTTTTATTAGGTTATACATTAAATTTAAAAAAAAAAGAATGTATTTTACAAATTTGATTAAAAATAATATATAATAAATTTACAATTAAAAAAAAGTTTTGTGATTTGTCCCATCCGAATGCTTGAAATGGCCGATATTAAACGTAGAAAATGAGGTTAGATAGATCCGTCAGATAAAGAATTTTATGATTGGTCCAAACGCGGTAAATAATGAATTACTATCCTCATAAAAGTTTGCAACCACCCGATTGGTCTAAATTATTTTTTGTTTTTAGTTCATAATCAATCGCTTTAGTTTTGATTGTTGACAATAATAAAGTGTAATTTATAGTTTGATTAAAGATAAATTATACTTTACTTTTTACTCATATTGTATATTATTACCGTTTGGATTTTTTCTGTATAAAGGGTCAAAAGTCATGGACAGCAGAAAAGTGGTGGATAGGTGATGGAATTATATGACGTTTTTAATCTGACGCACGTGCCCTTAATTATTTATTAATTAATTAATTAGAGAGAGTAGAACCTAAACACTGACAGTAGCAACAATATAATTGAGGTCAATTCTTATTCGATCATACATTCATAGCTATCGGATTTCTACAAGTGTTTTTTAATTTTTAATTTGAGTACTCAAAATGCAATCTGTTAATTAACTAATAATTAATAAAAATGTATATATTAACCAAAATTAAACAATTTATTTCTCAAAAACCGTCAATTCATATACGATCATACGTTCATAGCTATCGGATTTCTACAAGTGTTTTTTAATTTTTAATTTGAGTACTCAAAATGCAATGTGTTAATTAACCAATAATTAATAAAAATGTATAAAAAGAAAATGTGATATTTTTTTAATTTTGTTATGATTTTAGGAATTATATTTATTTTGTTATATTTTTATATACAAATAATTGTAATTATGTTAGCTATTTTATACATTTATATATTTTATTTATATTTTTTTATGTGCAATATTGAAATAAAGTTATTATTATTATTATTTATTGATTAAACCGTTTAACTGGTAATCTTCTAAACAACAAAATTAAGAATCTTCACGAAAAAATTGAGAAAAACCAGAATATTTACAAGAATAAACAAGAAAAATAAGATACATTGATAAAAATGTTTATTGGCCTAATACTGCTATGCTATTAATAAATTCTCGGGAATTTCTTGTTTTGCTCGTTTTTTCTCGTTATGGCTTTTTTTATTTTTTTTATTCTCCAAAAATAAATGCGCATTATCCATCTTTAATCATTCCAATTAGGGCCAGTTTATCAATGTCCAGTTAAAGTTGCAGTTAGTTATCTAGCAGATAATTTCCATGGATCCCATTGTTCTCACAACGATCGATAAAGAATTTAACTGTCAGATAGACTAACTGGAAATTAACCAGAGATTGATAAACCGGTCCTTAGTTAACACATTGTACACAATGTATACTATTAATAAACTTAAATGGGGCGTTTTCGCTTATTCATAAAATTCGCTGTTATCACATTATTTTATCTACGGCGAACATTTTTCAGACGGTTCTAACCAGGGCCGGATTTAGGCATGGGCCACATGGGCCCGGGCCCAGGGCGGCAAATTTTTAGGGGCGGCAAATTTTGAAGGCCAGTTAAAATTTTGCTAAAAAATCAAGAGCGTTTTATGCAGAATTTTTGTTTTCACTCAGATTTATACAGTAATTAAAACTATAAAAAGTTGGAAGAGAATTTTTTTAATACATTAGATAATTTTATATCAGACTACTATCAGACTGCTAAAAAATCAAGAGCGTTTTATGCAGAATTTTTGTTTTCAGTCAGATTTATACACTAATTAAAACTATAAAAAGTTGGAAGAGAATTTTTTTAATACATTAGATAATTTTATATCAGACTACACTATTATTCTGCGTAGTGCGTCACTGCGTATAAGGGCGGCAGTCGATGTACACGAGGCGAGTGGGGCGCGACTCTAGCTTATTCGCTGAGTCATTCGTTATTCGGGGTAATGATGCGTTGGGCCCATGGGCGGCAAATTCGTAAATCCGGCCCTGGTTCTAACCACAGGTTCTAACCTTGCGGCATCAGTCGGCAGCTGACATTGTTCAATGTACAGGGGGTTCTTTTTTCAAAAAATCTAGGGTATAACGAATTGGCTCATTAAAGCCGTTTGGGAAATATAAAATGGGTTTTTTGATAAAAGAACCCCCTGTACATTGAAAAACTGTAACTTTTGAAAAAAGTCTAGTACCTCAAAAAATCGTCCATTCGGTTATGTTTGATTACCGTATGGTTTGGGATCGATTACTTTTAAAATTGGGCTATAATAAAAAAAACAAAAAAGTGATTTTGAAAGCAACGCTCAACTTTGCACACTGCGCATAGCAAAAGGGCACATCATATAGGTGCGCAATGGGGTTTAACGTGTGCCTTATTTAGTACATAGTCAAAAGTATTAGAAGTCGGTTTGTTGGCACGGTTAGCGAGTTATGAGCCAAAAAGCAAAAAAACTACCCTTTCGGGGGATGAAATTAAGGGACGCGGAAAGAAATTTTTGGGGAATATTCTTGATTCATTATCAGCACCCCTGACTCTACATAAAAAAAATAAAACCCGACTACCACCGAGTTTTCCTTTTACAATCTTTGTTTCCTGGACTAATATATGATATATAAGATATACATATCTTTTTAAATAATGAAGTTAGATTTTTCTGGGATTCCTGGGGGTCAGTAGATTATCAACCTTCAAGGTGGTGCGCGACTTCTGGGACACCCTGTATACACTGACCGGCAAAATTATCGCATCACTTAAAACACTAAATTTTTCAATGAACCTGATTTTATATCAACAGCGTCAAAGCAAAATAGCTGAATTCGGTTTAGATTTTTCGTTACTTTAATTTTGACGCTAAAACTGATCTCACGATCAAAAACGAGCGGCAAGCGTCATCATGTAATTGCACCTTTACTTTTTCCTAATCAGATTAGCGCGCGAAACGCACGAATTACAAAACTGTTTTTATAAAAAAATTGTACAATATTTATTACCGTAAACACGGGTAATATTATATTTTATTTTTATTAGACACGTGTTAGCAGCGACATATATCTATTGCAAGAGATTACCAATAAAAAAAATAAATAATCGACCTGTAGTTAACCAAGGATCATCGTTCCAATGGATTGCGCATAATATAGAAATTGTAACGCGTGTATTTCTAAGAGTTTTGCACTGATACGATATATGCAATTTTAAAGTGTAATAAATCCCATTTCTTTCTTTAAAACACTGATTTTCCTGTAATATAAACTCAATAGAATCGCTCAATTGACAGGTTTAGACCAACAAATTATAAATGTTAATTTTATCGAGCGCGAAAAGATTTTTCATAAATGGGTTAGTCACCCGCGGCAAAGATAATACACCCCATAGATTGGAAACTCTCCCACCACTGCCCTCTAGAGCTACAATACCTGAACTATATCTATTTCTAAATTGCAGACATCTGTACAAACGCTATTTGCAAATGTCAATGCCAATCATAATTATTGATGTCGATCATAATTTTTGAATTATTAAATACATTTTTGCGCCTTAAAAGTGATAAAACGTGTTAATGGTTGTGAAATGTATTATTGTTGGGTGCGGAAATGTAACCAATTTGTAAGTATTGACTATCCTGCCGTCCTAAGCCAAAAAGACTCATCCCGTTATTATTAAATTATTCTCTTAGCAAAAAAGACGCATTTGAACTATACATACATTTTTAAGTACTATATCTCCTGAAAATTTCTAATTAAATTGAACGTACCTATCTTATGAAAAAAAAAATAAAGCGCTATAATTTATAAAGTAAAAATATGGAGTTGCGTCTTTTTGGCTAAGCACAGCAGTATAGCTCTAGCGTAAATATACTGTTTGTTAATTATGAATTGTTTAATGGTAATTTAGTCCAGGCCAAGCCCAGGCTACTTATGGTTGTTTCAAAACCAAGAGTTGGCAAGATGGATTTTTCACAGTTGGTTAGAACTTGCCAAAAGTCCACACTCAAAAGCCTTGTACAAATTCCTATATGTATATGTATAAGTAGCCTGGACTAAATTACCAAATTTTGCAATATACTCTTATTATTGAAGAATTAAGACTAATATTTTTTAGGTTTGCCTCTCACAAACAAAAACATATTCATGTATACCGATTATGTATTTAATTTGTACATATAGATGTATTTATTTTATTTTATATTATATTATTAATACAATAAATAAATCTTATATTCATACTTGTTTTTATTTAAAATACAGCAGTAAATACAATATATAAAGGCACCCTAAGAAGCATCAACATTCAAATATGGCGCCAATATATGTTACAGAAATCTACTTCAATTTTTGGCATTGCTAAGGGTATTGTAGACCTAGATGGCGTTAATTTACTTTTGCCGCTAGCGCTAGTGTAGTTTCCAATCTATGGGGTGTATTATCTTTGACCCGCGGGGTGCAAAGTCACCCGTATTTACGGTATATAATATTTTGGCATCAAAATTGTCAAAAATATTCTTCTTTTATTAGGTTATACATTAAATAAAAAAAACTAAAGAAATATTTTATAAAAGTAAAGATAATTTTAATAATTGAAAGGTGTGAATGGGGCAAAAAACGGATTTATCTTATCACACCTATCAAACATTGAAATTATATCTACTTTTATAAAATATTTTTTTCGATTTTTATAAAAACAGGTTTGTAATTTGTCCGTCCGTCCGCTAGAAATGGCCGTAACCTCACTTTTCCAATTTTAATGTTATGTTAAAAATGAGTGCTGTAATGAAAATGCGTAAGTTATGAAGCTTTTAAATCCGTGATTTTTTTAACTCAATAGTTATTTATGTACCTAGTGCGCGAAATTGAACTTTGGTGATTAATAATGACGTTTTTTTGTCTGAGACAAAAAATCATTGGAAATCACCAAAGAAATTTAGCGCATGAGGTGCACTACAGCTTTATTTATTTATTTATTTTGTTTGATCTAGGGTTTAAATGTGACGCTTATAAAACGCATATCAATAAAAATATTTCAACTTTTTTGACAGTTCTAGAAAACAAAAATGGAAAATCGTTAAATTACTTAAAAACAAAAAATAAAAATTTGTTTATAACAAAAATATAAATAATAAGTTATTGGTAAACATTCACATAGGTAATATGAGTAATATGCAATAAATATATATTGTCATTCAACATAACAATGAAATACGTTGAGCAATGCCCCTAAATTTCCCGCCAAATTTCTAAAAAATCGAAAAATTTCGAAACATTTATTCTACCTACGCGGGACGGCCCCTTAATAAATTGCCACAGATAAAATAATTTCAAATTAACTTAATTTATTAATGAATAATTGAAATTCCAGAGGAGTTTAATAAAACAAATCTGACCTCTGTTGATTCAAATCCAAATAAAAAAAGTTATTTTTACGCAATAGGATTCTTTATAAAATTTGATAAAAAATTGCATTTTATGATTGTGAAAAGGTCAAAAATCGCGTAAATTTCGAGTTTTTATACAGACGTTTAAAAATGTTGATACATTGGGAATTTTACAACATGTGAATGCCTTTTATGAGATTTTACATTAAAATTTAAATGTCATAACCTACAACTGCCGTCTGTGGCCTTTATGGAACTGTCAATATCAAATTTTAACAGTCATGATTTACAGTCGTTTTTGTAATGCTGTGTAGAAGATTTACGTAAAATCTATATTCTTTTAGACGAGTAACAAAAGGAATACACCTAGGTGACCCTCTATAAAAGAACTTCAGTCTAAAACCACCATTAAAGGTCAAATAAATAATTCAAACGTCTAAATTTCTACACAAACATCAACAATTCGCGGCGACAAATCCAATTCGACGTTTAATTTAACGCAATAGGTTAAAATGAAAGCATGCGGCGAAAGAGCACATGTTTTACAAACCTTGTCTAGCTCCGCTTCGGCCTGTTGTCTTTGATTCGGGTCGATGGTTGCCCTCAGCAGCTCTATCAGTTTCCTAATTTCCATTTTCTTTACTACTTGACGCGATTCACTTCAATTTAAACTGGGGTCCGGATAAGTTTTTTTTTACTTCTTTACGTTCAAGATGCTCTTTCAATTCCTCACCGTTGCATTTGACAGCATTTCGGTCACGTGACCACAGCCAACTTAAACCGCCTTACAGCTGTCAGCTGGTACTTTTGTCTTTGAGTTTGCCACCCTGACCATGGATAAAATTGGATAATTCTAAACAAAAACGAACAAATTTAAAATATAATTAACATTAATGTATTCATTTAGGTTTAAACCATTCATAAAGACCAAATTATACAGGTTTTAATACAATTTGGCTCGTTTTTAGTTATTTATTTATTATGGTTGGTTAGTTAATTAGTTAGTTTTGTTTGGTTGGTTATGGTGTACAATATTTTGACAGATTTGATTTAAAAAATAACGTATATTTGTTTTTGATCTATGATGCTCTCATATAGTGCCTTCGAAGAGACAGGTAGTTAATTTGAAGGCTGTATTGTATAAGTTAATTCCTTTCCTGTAAGTTTTCTTTTCTATTTAATTCCATTCATATTTGCTTTTATTATATTAAGCTGATATTTAAAATTTTCTTCCCGAATCTTAATCCAAGTCCTATTGTTGTGTTTGTTTATTACCTATAAATTTTACCCATAAATAATAGCATGGTACTGAAAATACTAGTATTTTACTAATTTTTCGTGTTTTTAAATTGAGATTTTGAATGTAAACGGCCAATGTTTCTTAGATATTAAATTCTTTTTATAGCAAAATTATTGTTTGTTAAGAAGAAAGAAAAAACAATCTTGCTAGGTAGTAAGAGCCAATTTTCCCAGACAGGAAATAAATAAATAGAAGTGTAAAAAAGCTTTAAAAGGAATTTACAGTGTGTAACTATTAGGTTTTATAATCATAATGGCTTACTTTGCGAAAGACAATAGCCAAAATGTTAAAGTTGTGGTCAGATTAAGGTAAACATTTTTGTAGCTGTTTTGTTTAAATATATTGTTATAAATTATTAATTTAAGGCCTCTATCTGATGGAGAATACAACCGTGATGCCTTTTTGGTTGTAAAATGCAGTTCTAAGAAAGATATATCCATCAAAGAAAAAAAATATTCTTTTGATCATGTTTTTGGGCCTGAATGTTCACAGTTGGATGTATATGAATGTGTTGTTTCTCCTATGATTCCAGACATAATTTCTGGATATAACTGCACTATATTTGCTTATGGGGCAACTGGCACAGGCAAAACTTTTACTATGACAGGAGGAAATACAAACAGTAAACAAGATTGGCGAACAGTAAGTAAGAAAATTATTGCCTAAAAGAGTATTATAATTTTTTTGTGTTTTAGGATCCTACAGCGGGGATTATACCTAGATCTGCTATTAATTTATTTGAAGAGTTGGAATTAATTCAAAATTCAAAATATACAGTTCGTGTTTCCTTTCTTGAATTATACAATGAAGAGGTCAGAGATTTGCTAACAGATGATGATAGAGTGCCACCTTTGAAGTAAGTTTTGTTTTAGTTGATCATTTTGATGACTCTCTTTATAAAAATATTGTAGTGTTTTCAATGATCCTAACAACAAAGGTTCTGTATGGATACAAGGTGTGAAAGAGGTGACTGTGTGTCATAGAAATGATATTTTTGATTTGCTGGAAAAAGGCAATTTAAAAAGGATGTTTGCTCCCACACTGATGAACCATAACAGTTCAAGATCCCATACAGTTTTTTCAATGACAGTTAATATAAGCGAGATTTCAAGCAGCGGAAGAGAAAGCATTAAGTCTGGAAAATTAAATCTTGTTGATTTGGCTGGTAGCGAAAATATCGCCAGAAGCGGGGCTAAAGATATTAGAGCTAAAGAATTGTCTAATATCAATAAATCCCTTCTAACATTAGGTAAGTTAAAAAAAAAATCAAAATTTAATGTGCCCAACTTATACCATACATTAGGGCCCAAACCATAAGAATCTTAAAATTACTTAGGAATTACTAAGAATCTTTAAAACACATCTTAGATTTATTTACATTGAAAATGTCCATATACCCACATAACACAAAAATATATTTAAAATATTGAATGAATCTGTTTGCAAATAACCTAAATATTTTAGAAATATTAGTAAATATTATTTAAATGCCTCTAAAAAGTTTTTAAAACATTTTCCACTTTTTATATTCATGAATGAAAAAATATTGCATGCATGCAATATTTTTTCACAGCATTTTTAAAACCTTTTTGTAAATGTTTTAGATACATTACCTTATATTTTGTTACTAGGATTTTTGTTATTAAAAATAAAATAATTCATGTCCTTACATGAGTGGTCCTATTATTTTGTAGAAATTGACTGCTATCTCATTTTGTGATTATGAATCAAGGTTGTTGCTTTCAACTGACATGTCTAAAATGTCTACAATTATTTGTTAAAATTTGAAAACTAATATCTTAAATTTTTAATTTCAAATATCTTCGTATCAAAAACTCATGAAAAAACTTAATTTGACATTTTGATTTCTCCTTACCAGCCCTTTATATTAGCACTTCAAAAAATAAAGTATTTTTAGAAAAGTCCAGGAAACCTGGCAATCCTTGTACATGTATATGTACATTTATTATATCCTTTAAGGTTACCCCAGTAGCACCAAATATTAGCCAAATATAAAAAAATATTTATGTAATATACAAAACAACAGATTTTTAAGATTTAATGTATATTTGAAGTGTATATGTATTTAATATATAAAAATAATATCAAATGCATATTACTAATAAATGTTATAAATATATTTAAAAATAATATGTATTAAATATAAGAAAAATATCTATGCAATAACTAAATATTACTAAAGTAATATTGCATAAACAATACATAAGCTGTAGTTAAATTTATAAAATAACGCCGTCAATTTGTAAATGCTACAACAACTTCTGTGTTGCAAATATCATTTAATACTTTTATAAAATATTAATTGTTTTGTAATATTTTATTAATTAAGTAAATATTTAAATTATAAAGCAGGTTGGACTGGGCCAAAAAAATTGACTATTTTTTTTTTGGAAAGTATATCGAAAATATTTTTTGGGGTGACAAAAAAAATTATGGTAAAAGTCTATCATCGCAATTTTAGATTTTTTTCCAGAGCGAGTTTTTGTCTCAGAACTCCCAAATCATTGAGTTTAACAAAATTGACTGAAGAAAATTGAATGCTCTACAAAAAAGGTTTGATTGGAATTTCCTGTCAGATGAACCCTTTTCTTACAATCATGCCTTAAAAATTGGTATAGTTTTACAATTTGATCTTTTAACTTTGGAATTTCGCAATTCAAGTAAAAATCAGTACCCTGAAAAAAACGATAAATATTCTTATGGGAAATCAAATGCTCTACAAAAAAAGTCTTTTATCATTTTTCACTCCATCAAAAGTTATTCAAGGTTAAATTTGAAGTCAAAACTAAATTTTAACCTTGAATAACTTTTGATTGAGTGAATTTAGCCAAAAATGTTAAGAGGCTTTTTTTGTAAAGCATTTGATTTTCCATAAGAATATTTATCAGTTTTTTATGGGTACTGATTTTTACATGATTTACAAAATTCCAATGTAAAAGATCAAAATGTAAAACTATACCAATTTTTAAGGCATGATTTTAAGGAAACGGTTCATCTGACGGAAAATTTCACTTTAACCTTTTTTGTAGAGCATTTAATTTTCTTAAAAAAATATTTTCAAGTCAATTTTGTTAAACTCAATGGTTTTGGAGTTCTGAGCCTAAAACTTGCTGAGGAAAAAAAATTAAAATTGCGATGATAGACCTCTTAATATTATTATTATGGACTCAAACTTTCACAATAATTCTTTTTTGTCATCCCAAACCATATTTTCGAAATAATTTTCAAAAAAAAAATTGTTGATTTTTTTGGCCCAGTCTAATATATATGTATATGTATATATATATATATATATATATTTCTTTAAAGATATTTATTAAATATCTTTTCTAGATAATATTTAATCATTAATTTTGAATACATTTTAATATTATACTCGATATTATATTAATATTTTAATTAGCTATAAAATATATGTTTTTATAATGTTTAATGGATATAATAAATATATTCTAAAACCTTTATTTTTTAATAACAATTTTTATTAATATCTATTAAATATTTATTTAACTTACAAAAAAATATATATTTTAAATAATATTAATTCAATATTTACTACCTATTTAAAAACAAATATTTTCAAAATAATATTAGCCAAATATTTACTATACAGGGTGTCCCGAAATTAGGGGGCCAAACTTAAACAGTGCATTCTTTATAGAAAAATAACACTTTTTTGTTTAATAAACATATATCAAAAATGCCCCCTAACGGAGCTACGCCCTCCTAAATAGGAGCTTAAGAGCATCATTTTTTTAAAACTATTCCTATAGGGTTGAACATGAAAACCTGAATTTTTGGGACTTTGGTAATTTTGACATTCTGAATCTGGATCTATAATCAAAACTGTTAAATTTTAATCATAGGCGTAACATTTGAGGGGGCAAATTTACAAAAACAGCCCCAACTTTTTGCAGAGTGAGTATTTTAATGTTTTCTTATAAAATTATGAAAATGTATAGTTTTTCACGAAAAATAAGTACTCCTGTTTTGAATCGCTCAGATGCACCATTTTCGAGAAAATTGCAATTTAAATTACTATGCTTAGCATAATTTCTAATATTTTCATTAAAAAGCTTTGGGACAAAAGTGACGTTTGGGTTATTTGCTTACTTTACATTTATTTTTATAGTTTAGTTAATATTTTTTGGCTCGATTTTTGTTATTTTTTATTATGGAGCGATTTTCCAAATTTTAACACAAAATTTTAACGAAAATAGTAGATGTGTATGCTATGCAGAGTAATTTATAAATGCATTTTTCTCGAAAATGGTGCATCTGAGCGATTCAAATCAAGACTACCTATTTTTCGTAAAAAACTATAAGTTTCCATAATTTCATAAAAAAAATTAAAATATTATCTCGGAAAAAAGTTGAGGGTATTTTTATAACTTTTCCCCCCCAAATGTTACGCCTATGATTAAATTTTAACAGTTTTGATCTTAGATCTTGATTCAGCATCTAAAAATTACCAAAGCGCCAAAATTTCATTTCTTCATGTTTAACGCTCTAGGAATAGTTAAAAAAAAACTATTCTCTTAGGCTACTATTCAGGGGGCCGTAGCTCCGTTAGGGGGCATTTTTTGATACATGTTTATTTAACAAAAAAGTGTTACTTTTCTACTTACTGTTTAAGTTTGGCCCCCTAATTTCGGGACACCCTGTATATTAAAAAACATATATTTAAAAAAACTATTTATTATATATTTAATTAATATTTAAAAAAGATTTATTTATAATAATATTTAAAGAAGATTCAGGTATATCCATGTATTAAATTATTTTTTAATTCAGGTAGGGTGATACACGCTTTGTCTGAATCGAAGAAACCACAACACATCCCCTACAGGGATTCCAAGCTGACGCGCATCTTGCAGGACAGTTTGGGCGGCAGGACGAAGACCTGCGTGATTGCCACGTTGTCTCCTGCGCACACCGCCTACGACGAGTCGCTCAGCACGTTGGAGTACGCGCACAGAGCGAGGGACATCAAAAACTGCCCGGAAATTAACGAGCAAGTCAGCGCAGAGCAAATCGAAAAAGTAAGATTTTCATATTTTAATAATACTTAAAGTTCTTTTTTTTATTGATTCCAGTGAACGGGTAAAAATAAATGAGCTCAAAAAGTATATAGACCAGTGCAGAAGCCTTTAAAAATGGTAAAAAGAGAAAAAAATAACAGTAGGATGAAATCCATTGGAAAAGGAGGGGAATATAATAAAAAATAAAGGAAAAATAAATTACGGGCGATCTGAGTTCAGGAAGTGGGAGGGGGGGGTTTAAGGGTAAAAAATGGTTTATCTCGATTTCCGGCAAAACTACAAGTCCTATGGAAAAAAGTTAAATGTCAAAGTTGTAGGTAATAAAAGGATCTACAACTTTTGTAATTACAATTTTTTTACATAACCTCAAAATTTATGTGAAAAATTCAAAAAACCAAGTTTTTGGTTTTTTATTTTTATCTTTTTCAAAAAAAATTTTTTTCCACGAAATTTGGTGAAAACTTACCTTTTTATGTCCCAAATACACTGTAATTTATTTGATTTGAAATATTTATTATTTCGCCTTATTTTGACTTAATATCAAAAAAGCACCCTAATTTTCAATCGAAAATTCTCGCGTCAAAATATCAGCTTTTTTCAAAAAGTCGGTGTGCTTTTTGTTCGTTGAAATCTCTACTTTCTGATGGTGTCAAAAAAATATGCATTACTATGGTAAATGTTCTCAGAAAATACAAAAAAATATTATAATGAATAACGTAATCAGAATGAAGTATCTAAATTCAATAGTATGATTTACATGTATTTTTATATTTTATGAGATTTTCTTACATAAATGTTATTAGAATTTAATAAATAAACTTTTTAATTAAAAAAATTGCAACAATCACATTTTTTTGATGAAATTGTACATAATGATTAAAATAAATTTTCGAATTCGAGTTTTTTTCGTTATTCATTATAATATTTTTTGCATTTTCTGAGAACATTTACCATAGTAATGTATATTTTTTTTACACCATCAGAAAGTAGAGATTTCAACGAACAAAAAGCACACCGAAAGCTGATATTTTGACGCGAGAATTTTCGATTGAAAATTAGGGTGCTTTTTTGATATTAAGTCAAAATAAGGCGAAATAATAAATATTTCAAATCAAATAAATTACAGTGTATTTGGGACATAAAAAGGTAAGTTTTCACCAAATTTCGTGAATAAAAATTTTTTTTTTGAAAAAGAAAAATAAAAAACCAAAAACTTGGTTTTTTGAATTTTTCACATAAATTTTGAGGTTATGTAAAAAAATTGTAATTACAAAAGTTGTAGATCCTTTTATTACCTACAACTTTGCCATTTAACTTTTTTGAAAAAAGTTTTTTCCATAGGACTTGTAGTTTTGCCGGAAATCGAGATAAACCATTTTTTACCCTTAAAACCCCCCCTCCCACTTCCCGAAGTCAGATCGCCCGTAATTTATTTTTCCTTTCATTTTTATTATATTCTTCTCCTTTTCCAATGGGTTTCATGCTACTGTTATTTTTTTTGGTTTCAAAAATTATCGACCCTGGTCTAATAATTTTTTAAAAATATTCAAGTATTCATCAGTCTAAATTCTATAAAACTCTTGATTTTTAACCAAGTATCCAGCAAACACAACCGAAAAGGTTCTATAATGGCGCTTAAACTAAATAGAAAATATTTAAAATTAAAATAAGTAAATTTTTTTAGTAGTTTGTCCTTTATAACAAAAAAACAGGTTTTCTTTTAGTCGTAATTGCTCCAATTTTGACCTTAGTGATATTTTATCTGTAATAAGAGTTCTTAAATTTGTAAAATTAAAAACTCATTTAAATTTAAGTACCATTAGGTATAATTATTATTTTTTATGTGGTATTAAAACTATAGGAATAACACTGGGCGTCATTTTTAAAATATGGCGTTAACCAAAGGATAATTAAGCTTAATTTTCATGTATCCGTTTGTCCGTTAGTCCGTTCATCCGGGAGCGCTCTTATTGGTCCAATTATAATTCAAAATGTATGACATTTTATCGGTCCGTCAAGTTTCAACTTCGTACGTCTGACAAAAAAAGTTAAAATAATTTTAACTCATCCCTCAATACACATCTGTTTTTGACGCCTAACGTTATTTTAAGATACTATTTTTCAAATCTTTTAATATTTTTTTTAATAAGATTGTAAAACGGAAATATAACGTTCGTTATGTGAATAATGTTCTACTGTTATGTTTTTATTTAATAAGAATAACAGAAAAAAAAGAAAAGACAAACAAAAAAATATTAAAACCAGAACTAAAAGGACCTGCTTTTTTAAAACTATACATATTAATGTAAATTACCTAAGGCTAGTATATTCTTTTTATATGGTATATTTACCTACCTTTAAATTTATTAGACATCTAACTGTTAAAGTAACATAATTGTAACTATGAAAATTAAGCATAAGGTAAATTTAGTAAAGGGAATATACTGACTCTTAATTTCTATTTGTCGCCAAATCAATCCGTTAAACGTCATTAAAAAACGTATGCACGAAAATTGGATTATTTCTTATCGGACGATTTTATTAAAAAACGTACAAGCGGACTAAACCCGTAAGGGGCCCGGGGCGGTAAAATAAAATTCAAAATTTTCAAAAGACTGCGTTCCGTACGTAGTCACGTGGTGGGACTTTGAGGTTTGGAGCATAGTACCTACATATCTGTAAAAACTTTTAGAAAAATTGACTTTTGCATTTTTTCGTATTACTCTTTGAATAAAATGAGAAAAATCCAAGTCAATTGTTCTGAAAATTTCCCAATTTTTTCTCCGCCGGCTCAATTTTTCCGGAAATTTTAAAACCCTAAATTTTAGATAGTTTTTGTTGGACTGAGAAATACTACTTAAGATTTGGGGGCCCTTCTGTTAGTTGGATAGTTATCAATCTAACATTTTTTTTTATTTATGTTTGATGTGTAAGAAAAATATTGGAATCTCTTTTACAATTTTTTTCACTAAAACAAACTGATCACAGTTACATAAAGTTTAATAATTAAGTTTAGCTGTTTTGGGATTTTGGGTATTTTCATAATTTTGTTTAAATAATGTTACAATGGTATAATTGATAAAACCAAATATATAAATGTAAATTTTTTTAAAAAATTGTATTTTTTACAAAAAGTCGTCTTTATACTGGACATTTTGTGAATCTTGTAGGATTTAAATAAAGTCATGGAAAAGCTCCAAAAAGAGCTGAATGATGCAATAACGCAAAACAATGGATTTTATATAGACACAGATGACTACAATGAAATGCAGGAGGAAATATCACGTGATAGGTAAAACATACCCCTTAAAACATCATTGTTGGGTCAAAAATATTGATTTGTTTAACCCTTAATTAGACAAAAATATTAATCTGCAACTTTAAGGTCTGCAATGAACGATCTGGACCAGCACATCGGTCGCTACAAGAAAAAAATAAACGATCTGGAACAAGTGAAAATGTTGAAGTTGAAAGGCATCGACGATCTGAAGGAGTCTTTCGAAACCACGAAGAAAAAAGTTGAACTGTACGACAGCCATATCAGGAAAATGGAGGGGGAGATCGACAAGGAGCGACATCTGTGCAACCTGTTGGAAACTAAGCAATCGGAGTTGTGCGAAGAAGCGCAATCTTTGCTCAAAACGACGAGGGAAAAAGTTCAGTCTGTCGATGTACTGAGCGTCGAGGTATTTATCTTTTTGTTTTAATTTTATCTCCAGTCAGTTTGTTTTTAGGCGACTAAATTGGTGTAATTACAACGTAATTAATTCCTTTTTATTTTGCTTTCATTACACTTACATCTAAATTAAATTTAAATTAAAAATAATCATCATTTGATGATAAACCATTTTAGCGTTCCAATCACTAATTATTGAGTTAAGCATCCCCTGTAGTACAAGTGTGTTGGGCCAATATTGGACCCACTTTATTTATTAAATAGGGAATATTGAATTGTAAGATTGGTACAACAGAGGCTGATTCTTAACTTATATGCATAAACTTAAAAATTAAAAATTATAGCTAAGAACCAATAATAACTAATAATGAAAAAAAATTTAGTAAAACATTTTGTGTGAATTTATAATCAAAAAAGGTTTTCTTTTTCTTTCCTTCATCCGACTAAAGCACATCCACTTCTTTTTTCAAAAAAATGTTTAATTGAAAGTTTATGGCCTTGTCCCATTCCGCGCCACTGATGTTCATAAAAACGTGAAATTTATTTATTTTTAAATTTGAAATCCAAAATTGATGAAAAACTTTAAATTTTAATATAATTAGTGCAACTAGTAGTGCCTAGGTAGGCATATTGGGTAAGTATAGGTAATTTTAGTTTATACAGGGTGTCCCATAATTAGCCTGCAATACCTTAACAGCAGATTCTACGTACAAAAATAAGAAAAAAGTTCCTATACACATAGGCAGAGAAATGCTTTCTAAGGGAGCTACAGCCCCTCAAAGAGGAGCCCCTGAAGATGGTTTTTATTTAATATATCCAAAACCGTTCAAGATAGAAAAGTAAAATTTTGGGTAATCATCAAACTTTTTATGGCCGATATTATGTTATAATAACAATTCAAAATTTCCATGAGGGGTGGGTCAGATAGATAGGGAGTTAAAACCACCCTCACTTTTTGTATGTGTCTCGTGATAAGATTTGATGTCAGATTATGAAATTTAGGAGTTTTACACACAAAAAAGGTCCTCTTGTTAAACTTTGATATTATCCACTGTTTTCGCTTAAAATCGATTTAAAAATTACCTTACATAGCATAAAAGATCATAATGAATTCACAAGAGAAATAAAATCCGTGTAGGCCATGGAATACAGCTGCCATCTTTAGGAAAAATTATTTAAGACAGGTGACAGTTTCATGTAATATGTGACAGGTTGTTTAAAAATTGTCCATGGCCATGTTTAAAAATTGTCCATGGCCTTCGCTGAATCTTGTTCTCTAGTTGTGATTTTATCATGAATTTTTATGATGCTATGTAAGGTAATTTTAAAATCGAAGTTCATCAAGAGGACCTTTTTTATGTGTAAAACTCTGAAATTTTGTGATCTGATATTAAATCATAGCACAAGATACGTACAAAAAAGTTAGGATAGTTTTACCCCCACTCCCTATCTATCTGACCCAGCCCTTATAAAAAATTTGAATTTTTTATCATTCCAACTTATTGTCCATAAAAAGTTTAATTATATTCAAAAATTTCACTTTTCTATCTTGAATGGTTTTGGAGATATTAAATAAAAACCATCTTCAGGGGCTCCTCTTTCAGGGGCTGTAGCTCCCTTAGAAAGCATTTCTCGGCCTATGTGTATAGGAACTGTTTTTTTTATTTTTTGTGCGTAGAATCTGCTTTTAAAGTATTGCACGCTAATTATGGGACACCCTACTAGGGGTGTCAATCCCGAGCCCATTTTCCAATCCCGGGCCTTTCGGGACCAAAGGTATCTAATCCCGGGATCCCGAAAAAATATATATCATTAATTTTAAAACCAATTTAAAATAAAACAACAAACAAACTAACGAACGATATCTTTCGGACCACACTAATCGGAAGAATGGTTTTCAAGAATTCATAGGCACATTGTACCCACGTTTACCCCCATTAACAAATAATTCCATTTCTTTTATCAATCGGGCCTTGGTTCCAATTGGGGCTGTAACTTACATTGAAATTATCAAGTTGACATTTTTTCAGGTTTGACGTTTGAAATATGTTATATTATAGGTTATGTACATAAATTTATTCAACAGTGACCTATAATTTTATATTTTCTTTGCTGATTTTATGCTATAGATGGAACCACTCTTGCCATGTAATTTCAATGTATTTTCATTATTGTACGGCGGTGTATAATAATTTGACTTGAGCTGAGTAAAAAAATGAAGTGTTTATATATATGCTTATGAGTATTATAATATGAAAAATGTCATACGCTTAAAAAAAAGTCTATTTTATTCTTTGTAACTTATTACTAAGATTGGGACTTTTAATCCCGGGATTTTCGGGATCGGATTTTTTACGGGATCCCGGGATTGACACCCCTACTACCTACCTACATCGAATTGTTTTTTTTACTCGTGGAAAAATATTGGCACAGCATACAGTTTACATATTTACATAAGTACCTACGTTATACCTTCCTAGGCATTGTTAAATTTACTGTCTGTCCACTCTAAGTTGGCGGAACTAAGGAATTTTGTAGTTTAGATATTAAAGAATTGTCGTACTGTGTGCTTTTAAAACAGATTTTATATTATAGATAATACTAGTACATATTATATACTAGTATTATTTATAATATAAAATCTGTTTTAAAAGCACACAGTACGACAATTCTTTAATATCTAAACAACAAAATTCCTTAGTTCAGCCAACTTAGAGTGGACAAACAGTACAATTAAGTATTGATAAGTTATTACTGATACCCAAGCTGTTAGTCTAAGTACCTTAATCCAAAAACTACATTAATATTTTTCTTAGTATACCCTGAAAATGTTGTACAAATCAAACGAACAGTAACGAAAATACAAATCGTCAAAGTCGTCAAAAATGACCACTTTTCAGCAAAATAATCGAAAAGGGATAATTTTTACCGACTTTAAAGCGCTATATCTTCGTTACTGTTCGTTTGATTTGTACAGAATTTTTAGGGTATACTAGCAAAATTACGGTCTTTAACAGCATATTTATTATTTATTAAAAAAAATCCCTAAAAGTTATTTTATCTATTTTTCGTTCATAATGACTTCATTATAACACCGCTTTCAGTGCTGTAATGAGATACTTTAAAGAGCATAATATGTTGCATATTGGTTATAATATTTTTATGATTTTTCTAGTACTTACAAGACTTTTCTGGCAATAAATTTTGTTTAACACCAAAGAAAATCCTTTTTTTATTCTTTAACATAAACAGCCGCTTATTGTAAATAAATAAATTAAGGACGGCATGGCGAATCGATTTTAACATTAACTGTCAAACCAATGAATGTGATACCAACTATCTAAAGTAAACTTCGACCAAATTAAATTTAAGGTATAAAATTAATTTATTTATAGAATTTTTGCAAAATAGCATAAAGAGTCATAAGACCTTTTGTCGCAACTGAGTTGAAGTATTTTTATACAAAATTTCATAAAGATTGGTAAAGGCGTTTTAGTTACAATTTTTTTTACTTATTATGCGTTAATTTTGACGCGCAGTGTAGTATTACCTGTTAACTTAAACTTTCTTTGTCAATAAGTTTATAATTAGTGAAAACTAATACACATTTTATAGTCCTTTTAAAAACTTGCAGGCAGTCCAGGGTTACATAATATCCTCAAAAAGCGAAGTGATATCTAAAGAAGTAGCGCAAACAACAAAAGAGTACCTGAACCAAATCTCAACCCACAATTCCGAGTTAGTAAAATCCTTGTCGGAAAAGATGGAATCCTCCAACAAAACCTACTGCGATTTTTTGGAGCGTCGCAACAAGTTACTAAAAATCCACGGTGTAATTCGCGACTACGACTACAAAGAGCCGAGTGAGGATAACTCGGCCGTGCTCAGATTGGCTCCTCTAATGAAAAACATGCTTGAAAACATCGAAGGGTTTGCGGCTATCTACCGGGAAACTATGGAAAATGTTGAGGAAACGCTGGCGAAAAACCACAGCCGAGAAGTCCAGTATTTTCAGGAAAAGTGCGAGACAATATTATGCAACGTAAGTAAAATAATAAATCCTCGTAAAAAGTTTATTTTTTTCACAAAAATAATTTTTTGAGCTACATGCAATCACAGGCAAAATAATCGATCCACACAAATTTTCGATGAATTTCAATCGCAAATAACTTTTTTATTTGATGTCGGATTTAAACGAATATTAAAGAATATTGTAGATAAATTAATGAACAATCGCTCACATTTTAAAAAATTACTAAAAAAATAGAGTACATTTATTTTTTACCATAAGTTTCTGACACTCTGTAGAGTGGCAAAACCGTATATTGTTCTGAATTAAGTTTTAATTATCAAGTCACATCCACAATCCACACAACATGGATTGTGGTCACATCTATTTTTAACAGTTTTCTTTTTGGTTCACCTTGATATATTTATTTTTGTGGAAAATATGGATTTTAAAAAAAAAACATTGCAATTTCCAATATTTTTCTGTATGAAGAACTAAGGTTGCTATGGTCCATCCATAGGCTATGGAGAATGACAGTGACAGTTTTGTTGAATCATCCCATACTTGGACATGTCATACACGGCTTTCAAAAGCTATCAAATTGTTTATTGCAAATTAATGTTAAATTTTGAGGTGTCTTCTTAAAAATGGATATGTCCCCGACTGATGTTGCCAGAGTCATTAATTTAATCCAAGATGGATGGTCACAGTATTACGTGGCAAGTGTTTTAAACGTCACAAGAAGTAAAGTACAAAGGGCAACATCAGTCGAAGACATTTTTAAAAGTAAGAAGACACCTCAAAATTAACACATATGAGATGTCCAACTATGGGATGATGTCCAACTATGGGATGATTCAACAAAACTGTCACTGTCATCCTCTATAGGCTATGGATGGACCATAGCAACCTTAGTTCTTCATACAGGAAAAATATTGGAAATTGCAATGTTTTTTTTTAAAAATCCTTATTTTCCACAAAAATAAATATATCAAGGTGAACCAAAAAGAAAACTGTTAAAAATAGATGTGACTTGATAATTAAAACTTAATTTAGAACAATATACGGTTTTGCCACTCTACAGAGTGTCAGAAACTTATGGTAAAAAACATATTTTTGTGTAAACCAGTATATTATAAACGTACGTGTATTTTTTAGTAATTTTTAAAATGTAAGCGATTCTCCATTAATGTATCTACAATATTCTTTAATATTGGTTTAAATCTGAAATCAAATAAAAAAGTTATTTGGGATTGAAATTCATCGAAAATTTGTGTGGATCGATTATTTTGCCTGTGAGTGTATAATAGTTATTTGTGTACCAAGGCCAAAAAGTAATTTTTTTGGACAAGTCTGATTTTACAACCTATATTATAAACATTTTATTAATGATTTATTCATATAATTATAAATAAAACTGACAATAACAAAAGAGGCCCAAAAAGTGTTATTTTTTGACCGCATTTGAAAACTAAAAATTCACTATATTGTTTACGTCGACTAAAAAACTCATTTTTACAATAAACTTGTAGTTATATTTTTTAAATTTTTATAAAACATCAAACTGATTTTATTAGTACACTCACAAAAAGTCATGAAATTCAATTTATCTGCTTAGTTCTAATTAATTTTCATTTGAAAATAACAAGTAAAAAAATCCAACTCTAAAACAACTTTACCAATCTTTATAAAATTTTGGACAAACAAACTTTAATTTATATCTCAGTTTACATGTTTAAGGGTTTTTTAAGAAAATATCCTGAAAGCCCTTTTATTTAATAATAAAAAACTTTTATAGGGTAATTTTTTTAAGTAAATAAAAATAATGCTGTGAAAGACCGTATTTTTGTTGGTATAACCTAAAAATGTTGTACAAATCAAACGAACAGTAACGAAAATACAGCGCTTCAAAGTCGTCAAAAATTATCAAAAAGTGGTAATTTTTACCGACTTTAAAGCGCTCTATCTTCGTTACTGTTCGTTTGATTTGTACACAAATTTCAGGGTATACTAACTAAAATACGGCGTATTTTTTATTTACTAAAAATTTTCATTATTAAAAAAAAGGGATTTACAAATATTTTCTTGGAAAACCCTCGAACATGTTAACTGAGATACAAGTTGAAGTATTTTTATACAAAATTTCTTAAAGAATGGTAAAGGCGTTTAGGAGTTTTTTTACTTATTATGCGTTAATTTTGACGCGCAGTGTATATATATTTTTTTATTCAATATTTTTTACATAAATAAGAAATGAACAACTTTTTCATTATTTTGTTGAAAATAAATTATAAACAGATTAATTGGATATCCTTTTCATGAAATGGTTGATTACATAATTATTAAAGCACAACATATACTTTATAACTTTATTTTAAAGCTCATATTCTTGTAATTTATTTACAATTGCAAAAGTTAAGATATGTTGTATTTTTTAGTTAAATAATAATAAAAAATCCACATGTGAGACACTACTGGAAATAAGCGAAAAAAGGCGCAGAGAATTCGATGAAATTATTGAAGATTTAAACACGTTTTCTGGAATATTAAACATCGTAAGCACATTATTATTTTATAATATATTATTTTAGCATTAAACGTTTATTTTACTTAGACAAATGAAAAACAGCTTGGTCCTAAAAGTGACTTACACACGGAATTCGAGAGGGTTAAACAGAAGGATTTGAACGAAATCCGAGGTTTGGTACTTCGTGGTTTTGATGATTTAAAAATCAGGCTGGACAAAAACGACAATGACGCTGAAAAAAAAGTTGATGCATTCTACGAAATTGCCCAGGAAGTAAACAAAAAAATAGTCAAGGTTACAATGGATCTGGTAAAAAATATAATAAATATACATTATTATAAATATTAACATTATCATTTATTAGATAAACAACCTTAATGAAGATATAATAAGTCTCATAACAAAAATCAGAAGTGTTTTTGAAAAAAAATTAACTGATATTACGGATACATGTAAAAAGTTTATGGGAATAATAATTACAGCAGCTAAGAAATTTGATGCAACTAATGAGGTAAGTTAAAATCGGTTTTAGAATTATTTTGAATAACGTTTTTTACAACAGTTCATTTTTTTTATCTGGACTCGTGTTTTTTGTTAGGTTGGTGGCTTATGCCAGTTTGACTTAGTATTTTTAGTATTTAAAAATGGTACTTCTGCTAAAGAATTTAATTAAATACTTTGACAATGTCAAATTGACAATAATATTTATTATTGATAATTTACTTGTCAATTATAAATAAAAAGATAATTATGACAAAAATAATAGCAACGAATTCGAATGTAAAAGCCCTTTTGAGGGCAAAATTTCTTTTTGATGAAATTATGCCAAATGCCACAATGGAAGAAAAAGTACATCGCCTTATGGACATTTTTGGAGTAAAAAAGTAACGAATTTGGTTTTATAAATATTACATCACACATTATTTTCACATTATTCACCATTGGACAACATTTACGTTCACAAAAAATTTTAATTTCTTTTATATAAATTCTTTTCAAAGCGAAGATTATTATCCGCTAGGAATACTTTCTCTTCTGGGCCGTAAAGCAACCTATATTTAACTACTTTTTTATATGATTTTACTCATCCAAGCACCACCAAAGCCAAATTAATTGCATTTTTCACTACGAATTTCGACAACTCAAGTTGACAACTGCACAATGTAACCTACAATTATTTATACATAACCACAATTAGATTTATAACTAGCTTAGTTTGTTTTAATCAATGCAACCAACTTGACAACTGTATTTACCAACCAAAACCCTAAATTTGCAACGTTGCCGCAGTCCAGATAAAAAAAATTAACTTTATATCACAGTTCAACACGCTTTTCCTCCCATGAAAAATTTTAAAAACATATTTTAAAAATAAAGGCTGTGTCTCACGTTTAATTTTTTTATACAGCCATTCTTATTACTTTAACATATACAGATTTTTATTTTATTATAAAGCACTATTTTTCTTCAAATATTGTATGTTTTTACATAATACAAAAATTATACCTACCTAAAAAAAATATTTTTTTTTAAGTACAAAATACAAAATAAGTACAAAATACAAAAATTATACCCAAAAAAAATAATTTTTTTTTAATTGGTAACAAAAAATATTTTTTGATTTTTTTATCGCGCGAAACGCACGAATTTCAAAACTGTTTTTATAAAAAAAATTGTAGATTATTTATTATATAATAGTTTGGTATCAAAATTGTGAAAAATATTCTTCTTTTATTAGGTTAAACATTAAATAAAAAAACGCAAAAAATAGTTTATAAAAGTAGAGATAAATTTAAGAATTGAAAGGTGTGGATGAGACAAAAAAAAGATTTATCTTGTCCCGTCCACAATTATGAAATTATCTCTACTTTTATCAAATATTTCTTGCGACTTTTTTTTATTTAATGTATAGCCTAAAAGAAGAATATTTGACAATTTTGATGCAAGTTTTGTGATTTGTCCCGTCCGTCGGCTTGAAATGGCCAAAAACAACAGATTTGTATTTATTTTATATTAAATATATGGTTTAAACAAATCTTGATCTTTTAGTTTGACGATTATACATTGCTTTAGAATCTATAGTGGCATCACAACCTAAAAAACACCACTTGATATACAGAGTGTTTCACATTCGTGGTCCATTCGAAGTTTTTCGGGAACGAAAAAGATATCGATTTGAAATTAAAAAGCGTTTATTTAATCTTTTTTTTAAATATTTAAAAAAATGCCACCTCCGGTAATTTTAAATAAAATTCTGAAATTCTAAAATAACTATACCATGTTCTATACCTAAATTGAATAGTTTTCAAGTTAATAATTTTTTTCGTTTTTAAAATTTAAAAGTTATACAACTGTATTTGCTAACTTTGAAAAAAAAAACAAGAAAGCTGTAGAATGTCAACTAGATGAAGCACTGGAGACAATAAAATATTAATTTTTTTTTTAAATATTTTAATTAACAATATGCATAACTAATTTATTACTATATGTTCAGTGTCCACATTTAAGCATTTCTTAATTCTTAGATGTACATTAGACATTGCTCTTCTTGACTATTCTGGGTCTATATTAGAAATTGTTAAATATCTCTAGAATTATCAAATTTATTTATAGGAAATAATTATATCAATCGAAATGTTTTTTAATGTTCTATTTGATTATGTAAAAATATACAGGGTGTTTCATTTAAATTAAAAAGTTATTAACGTTTCAAGTTAGCCTAATTTGCCCTGGGTTGGGTAGGAAATTTAGTAAAAAAAGGTTAAAGAATTTATATGGAATTTTTTAAACAATATTTTAAGATTCCAAACATTTCATCCCCATTTCCGCAAATTTAATAGCAAAAAAGTTATAGGCTATTTATTTTAACGAAAAAATAAATAATTTTAATGGTTGTCCATTTATTCAGTGAATACCGTGGATAATATTTTATTGGATCGCACTTTAAAAAAAAATTACGTGATCTGAAAAAACGTCGAGACACGGGTATTATTTTTTTAAGTCTATTTTCAAAATGTATAGGAATTTTTTATGGGAGGGAAAACAAAATCAATTTTTTTTTGTACTGTATTATGTCAGTTCCATATAGAGTTGCCAGGTTTAAAAACTGACTTTACAGGGTACAATGTTTTATGTTTTAGAAAAATTAGTAACAAGTTACAGTGATAACAAAAAATAACTAACAAACGCATACGCAATTTTAATAATTGAATTTTTAGAGTATTAAACCTCACCTGGCCAATCTACTGGAAAAGAACGATATGCTAACAACCCAACTAAAAAGTGTAGCCGAAGATTACCCTTCCGTTATTTCCTCCAACCTAAACAATTTAATAAAATCCCATGAAAAAAACATAAAAACAACGGTTGAAAATTTACAAAATGAAGAGATAAGCAAATTTGAACAAAACATTTTACCTGTCAGGCATGCCGGCGATACGCCGTGTAAATCTCTAATGGACCGGGAAAAATTGCAGATATCACCGTTCTTGAAGTCTTTAAAGCGAGAGGACATCGTTAAGGAATATAAGCCAGATCCCAATGATTCAATAAATGTAAGTAAAATTTTTTGGGAGCGTGCGGCAAGGTTGCACTTTTTCGCTCGCATTTTAGTTCCAACGCGTTTTTTCTGCACTTGGCACAGCAGTCACTCTGGTTAGGATTTAAGTAAAAAATAGGCAATATTTAATCTTATTATTAAGCATAGGGCCTTTTCATGTCAAATGGACCAGGCAAAAAGGGGTAGGTCGTTATTTTTGAACGATTTTTTTTTAGTTTCTTTACCGAAATCGATGAGACCCGTATTTTTTCTTTTTGCTTAAATTTGTTTTGTTCACCCGTAGAAATTTTTGAAAAATGGACAAACATCGATTTTTCTCTTTTTACGAGTGACATTTGTTATTGAAAATTCGATAACTTGGCCAAAAATGTTTAGATCATTAAATTTTTTTTTAATTTACTACATACCAAAAAAATGAAGTAAATTTACTCATTTTTTTTAATTGTTCTAAAAAAGTAAAAAAAATGAGGTAAAAAAATTAAGTAAATTTACTATTTTTTTTTAGTTTTTTCTAAAAAAAATTTAACATTGCCCCATTTTTTTTTACTTCATATTTTTTTCGTTTGTTGTTAATAATATGAACAACTTTTTACCAAAAGTCCCGAGTTGGCTAAATTCGTCGTTTCGAAATTATTATTTTTTTAATGAAAATGCCATTTTCCAGTAAATTCTTGGTTTATCGCAAAAATTTGGTATTTTATCTATTGTCATGAAACTGGGGTAACCTTTATAAAATGTAATTTAGAATTTTTCGACATATTTAACTGGAAGTGACAGAAATATGTTAAATACAGTGTGACTCACCCCTGTAAAATCTTTATTTATTGTGCGATTTTAACCGGACAAGACAAAAAATGCACAATAACAAAAAAAATATTTTGTCAAGTTATCCATGAAAAAAACATTGAAATAAAATTGAACTCATAGTAATAGTACCATGTTACTATTAGTTTAATTTTATTTCAATGTTTTTTCATGGATAACTTGACAAAATAAATTTTTTGTAATTATTGTGCATTTTTTTTTCTTAAAATCATTCAATAAAATTTAGTATAGGGTCGTTTTGAAGGGTGGTGAATCCAGTGCCGTGCTTAGATTTTGTTAAAAAAAATCGCTAATATGAATTCTTAAAAACTGACATAGTAGGTCTTGTATTTTGTAAAAATATGGCGTTTTTTGCTCAAAAAATTTAGTTTATCAAGATCGACACTTTAAAATAAATCCGGTTAAAATCGCACAATAAATAAAAAAATTACAGGGGTGAGTCGCTAACAAATGGGCCACACTGTATGTCAAAAAGTTCTAAACTACACTTTATACACCCCAATTTCATGACCCTAGATAAAATACCAAATTTTTGCGAATTTACTAGAAAATGGAATTTTCATTAAAAAAATTATAATTCCGAAACGAAGAATTTAGCCAACTCGGGACTTTTGGTGAAAGTTGTTCATATTATCAACAACAAACGAAAAAAATATGAAGTAAAAAAAATGTGGCAATGTCAAAATTTTGACCTCATTTTTTTACCTTTTTTAGAAAAAAACATTAAAAAAAATTGAGTAAATTTACTTCATTTTTTTGCTATGTATGTAGTAAAAATTTACCTATAATTAAAAAAAAATTAACGATCTAAACATTTTTGGCCAAGTTATCGCATTTTCAATAAAAAATGTCACTTGTAAAAAGAGAAAAATCGATGATGTCCATTTTTCAAAAATTTTCTACGGGTAAAGAAACTGTAAAAAAAAATTCCTTGAAAAATAACGACCTACCCCTTTTTGCTTGGTTGATTTGAGATGGAAAGACCCATAGTGTTTTTAAACTTTTCTTTATTTTAATATCAAAATTATTTTTTAGGATTCAATCAGTATTTTGGACAATTCATCAACAGAATAAACAGTTTATTTATTATTTAATCTAATATTCCAAAAATTATATTTGTTTAAAAATATATATGGGTCAGAATTTCTCAAACGGGCCACCTGAATTAGGTCAAAATTAGTTTTTGATTGTAGATACATTTTTTCGATAGTATTTTACATCACTAACACAAATCCTAAAGGATTTTGTAAAAAAAAAAATTTCAATTGACTTATTCATGATATTAAAAGTCAAAGTTTTTAATAATAAAAAAAATAAAAAAATTCATTATGGCTGAACTAATTATCCGATTCCAACGATATAACTAGCGTTGGAATCTTGTTTTGACATAGATTCTTTGTTATTTTTTTCAATTGTCCAATTTTCATTTAGGTCGATTTTTTTTTGTTTTTTTTTATACCAAATTCGGAAATAATAGAGTAATTGCATCAAAAATGAAAATCCCTAAAAACCTTTTTAATGTAATCTAGAGGTAAAAACACATTGCAAAAATATTTTTTTATATTCCAAAAGTTCAACCCGGCCCCAAAACATCAAATTAAAAAAAAGGTACTTTTCAAACGTTCCGAACTCCCGCCATATTGCATGACGTCATAAGCTCCAACTGTCAGAAATCAAGATGTCAACAAATAATAAACACCGATAAAGTTTATGTTTAACATGGAAAACGCGAAACCAAAAATTGGTTGTAAATATTGTTTTGTGCCTTGTTGTACAAATACAACCTGGAAAACTCCTGGGAAAGTTGTCCCTTCAATTATCAAAAGCAAAGTTTATGACCCTACACTGAGAGTAGTTACGGCTCAGCCGTATTTTCTTGGGTTTATTAATATTTAACATACCTATTCAAACCATATACCTAGTAAACGACATTTTATTTTACTTACATTAAAATGATCCTTAAAATGATCAATAAAATGTTGACTGCGGTGACGATGTTTTGATATCGCGCCGAGCTATTTTAATCCACTTTATCCTTATTTTCCCTTTTGGCACGGTGATAAACCTTTTCCCAGGAGTTTTCCAGGTTGTATTTGTACAAGGCACAAAACAATATTTACAACCAATTTTTGGTTTCGCGTTTTCCATGTTAAACATAAACTTTATCGATGTTTATTATTTGTTGACATCTTGATTTCTGACAGTTGGAGCTTATGACGTCATGCAATATGGCGGGAGTTCGGAACGTTTGAAAAGTACCTTTTTTTCAATTTGATATTTTGGGCCGGGGTTGAACTTTTGGAATATAAAAAAATATTTTCGCAATGTGTTTTTACCTCTAGATTACAATAAAAAGGTTTTTAGGGATTTTCATTTTTTTATGCAATTACTCTATTGGCTTCTGCGCCAGCTATCGACTCGAAAAAAAAAAACACATATACTCCAATCATTTCTCGAAAAAAAATGGCCCGCAGGTTGAGAAAAAGTTATTCGTCCTTTTGTGGCCGCGCGCGGTGTCAGCTCACGCTCCGAACCGTGTATGCTGTAAGCGCTTGCGACGGGACGTCTTTCGGTGGTCTGGAATGGTACTTTTCTAATCAAAATTAATTTGTGACCTTAATAATTGACTTGGAGCCTTGTTTTTTTTTGTATTTTATTTAGAAATAAATAAGCTTTATACTGATATAAACAAAAATAATTTGCATTCATTATATTTTGTTTTCTAAGGCGCCAAACTAAAAATTACATTTTTCTTGGTACTCACTTGTGGATTATCTGTCAAATTTTCTACTCCTTGATTAAGTTTGTAACTTTCTTTTAAGAACTAAAGTTATATTTTAATATCGTAATAATTTTCTTAAATTGACTAAATCGAAATATTTAATTTATTCTATATTTAGTTCGGTCACACAAAATAAGTAATATCTAATAATAAAAAAAGTAAATTGGATTTATAAATCTTATTATACTTTTTAATAATTTAAAAGTGAATATTAGCAGTTTTATATAGGTAATTTACAAAAATAAAAAATCCTTTCCTAATTATATTGTAATTAATGACATTTATTACAAATAAATAAGGTTAGCGTTGCTTGGGAACCAACGAAAAAGCATTGGTTGCTAAGCAACGCTAATGTTATTTATTTGTAATAAATGTCATTATTGTCATTGTTTTTTATTTTATCCTCTCGAAAAAAGAAATCATAGTCGTGTCTACAAAAACATTAAATTGGTTAATATACATTGGGACGGTGTGTTTCGAAATGTAATCGGGAAGTATTTGTGCGATTCATGTAGGCGATCGGTCCTAAAATCGAATTCACTTTAACAGCATATTTTGGTAGCTAAAATAAACGAAGAAAACAGATATACAAAGAAACAAGACCATTATACTGATAGTATTTTTATTTTACCACAAAGTGTTGGTTATAAAAAAATGTTAATATTTAAGTTTGGCGCCATTTAAAACAAAATATAATGCACATAAAATGTTTTTGTTTTTATCACAATAAACCCCATTTATTTCTCAATAAATCAACAACCAAAACAAGACTCTGAGATTATTAATACAGGCAAAATTTTTATTTTACCAAAAAGTGTACTTTAAAAATTTATTTCTTTAGTTTGGCGCTACACCTATAAAAATACTATGGACATAAAATATTTTTGGCTTCCACACAGCAAAGCCAATCAATTTCTTAATAAAACAAACAAAAACCACAAGGTTTTACATTTATTTATAAGGGCAGAATAATTTTTTTAAATGTGTAATCAGAAAAATTTATTTTTTTGTAAAACATAATAAAATATAATGAGCGAAAATTATTTTTGTATATACCAATATAAAGCCTATTTATTTCTGAATTTAATACAAAAAAATTTTGATTAGAAAAGTACCATTCCAGACCACCGAAAGACGTCCCGTCGCAAGCGCTTACAGCATACACGGTTCGGAGCGTGAGCTGACACCGCGCGCGGCCACAAAAGGACGAATAACTTTTTCTCAACCTGCGGGCCATTTTTTTTCTCAGCAGCATAATTTCGAGAAATGATTGGAGTATATGTGTTTTTTTTTTCGAGTCGATAGCTGGCGCAGAAGCCAATTATTTCCGAATTTGGTATAAAAAAAACAAAAAAAAATCGACCTAAATGAAAATTGGACAATTGAAAAAAATAACAAAGAATCTATGTCAAAACAAGATTCCAACGCTAGTTATATCGTTGGAATCGGATAATTAGTTCAGCCATAATGAATTTTTTTATTTTTTAATTTTTAAAAACTTTGACTTTTAATATCATGAATATGTCAATTGAATTTTTTTTTTTACAAAATCCTTTAGGATTTGTGTTAGTGATGTAAAATACTATCGAAGAAATGTATCTACAAACAAAAACTAATTTTGACCTAATTCAGGTGGCCCGTTTGAGAAATTCTGACCCATATATTTTTGTAATAAAACCATTATTTAATGTTTATTTAGTATTTAATGTAACAATAATATTTATATAAATTTAGTATGTAAATAATAAAATTAATACATATTTTTATAGTTTAATTCAACATATCTTTTAATAATTTTTCACATTTTCCCATGTCAGCTTTTCCTTTAGTTTTTGCAGATACACATCCCATAATGGCTTTGAAAACTTTCGTTTTTCCCGCCTTGTATTGTTTAACTAATTTTTCGTTTTCTTCTATAACTTTGGCGCATATTTCTTTTAGTTCCTCCTCGTTTGATATTTGAAGAAGGTCCTCTTTTTGTAAAATCTAAAAAATATTTGTTTTCTATAATTATATTAGTTATATATATGTTTTACCTCCAAAGGAGTTTCTTTTGTATTTTCTATTATTTTTCCCAACAAATATTTTGCGGTATTTCTGTTGATTTTATTATTTTCAAGGAGTTCAACTATGTCACCATAAAACTTAGGACTTGTGTCGCTAAAATATTAAAAACTGTAACAATATTATATAGGTACAAAGGATTTTATTTAAAATTTAAAAAACCACTATTAAACATGTCTTACATATCTTTAGCTTCTTTATCAAGTTTATTTAACATAGTATTAAATTCATTTATCAAAAAATTCGCCAACAATTTTGGACTTATTTTTCGCTTTTCCAAAGCGGTTTCAAATATATTTAACAATGCAGTATCATTCTAAAAATAAAAATATGTTTATGTCAATTTGTCATGTTTAGAAACTGAGTTATTTGTATTACCACAAGTACAATGGCTTGCTCAGAACTCAATCCCATTTCATTTTTAAGCCTAACTCTGGTCTCCTCTGGTAGTTCAGGTATTTTATTTTTTAATTCTTCTACATTTACGCAACCTCTAGTAAAAGGCCCCACTGCTACATGCAGAGGTGGCAAGTTTGGTTCTGGCATATACCTATAGTCCTAAAATAGTTTATTCAATTGGGGTTTTTATGTGATGGAATGGGAGGAACTTTTCCTGTGCACTATTACTCACTTGTAACTCCTCCTTATCCCTCATGGCCACTGTGATTTTGCTTGCAGCATCCCAAGCCCTAGTTTCATTTGTTATTGTTCCCCCAGACTCTTTAACCTTAATTTGCCTCTCAATTTCATATTTGACAGCCCCGGCTACCCCTCTTACTGAACCAATATTTTTTATTTCTGTTCTTGTACCATAAGGTTCACCTTCTTGGTGTATAGATACATTGGCGTCAACTCTTAGGGCCCCCTCTTTAGAAAAAATATTTTGATTATGTGTTTTTATTTTTATAATCAATATTACTTTCCTATCTAATTAATCCCAAGCAACAATTTAAGTATTTGTTACGTATATGGGACTATTGAAGAAACTTAAAAGTGTTTTGCAACAGTCGCCGGTCTCTTTATATTACTCTTTCATTACTAAATTGCTACTATTTGGAACGTAGCTGTTACGTTACTAGAACGTTTCAATATCGTTGCTAGAGCGTTATAATTACTTTTATTTATTTGTTTTTACTTCTATATTAAGTGTCTTTAAAAAAACTTATATTAGATTTTTTAAATGGAACCACTAGGGACTTTGTTTTTCAATGTCGTCGTTTATTAAATATGTACTGGTAGTTATAACTTCCAGAATAACAATACAATGTTTAATTAGGCAGGTAAATTTATAAACCCTTTACTTAAATTTTACTGTTAAACTTATGAATTTAGTTTTTGTAAAATAAATGCGCTTCATCAATATTTAAGTATAAACAAATTATTTATTTAATAATGTTTATAAATAAAAAAATCTTAATACTTATTATTAATATTTTATTTAATTATTAATACCGTCTATTACCAACAACATTACTATTTATTAAAACGATGTGGCTCCCGTCCCGAGGCGGGACTTAAGTTCAGTCCCGATTGACGTCACACACTGTAAATCGGTTTTTATTCCCCGAGATTTTATAATTTGTGTCAAGCTCGATGGCTTAGATGGTAGGGCGGTCGCTTGGCATGCGAGAGTTACCGGGTTCGATCCCACTAGAAGTTGTCAAACTTTTTTTATTTTTTTTATTTTATAAATTTGTTGTTTCTTTGTTAAAAGGTGTTTTATTTTTATCGTAACATAAATTTGCCCATTTTAGTTGGGTTTTTTGCTCAATGGGGCGGGGGGGCCCAATGGGGCGGGGTCGGTTGGGTTGTGTTGTTGAGTTTGGGTTGGTTTGGTTTTATGACGTAACTAAAGTGCCCTTAACATGTATACAGGTACAATTTATTATTATTATTTTATTATAACATAACAAATCTTAAAATTATGACGTCAATCGGGACTGAACTTAAGTCCCGCCTCGGGACGGGAGCCACAGCGTTATTAAAAAGTAAACAACCATTTACAAACAATTAAAATAATTTATTATTTACATTACCACGTGGTACAGTAAAAAATGGCTGATAAGGAGCATTTTCCTTTGAAGTACCTAGTTTTCGCTACTTTAAAGTTTTTTCCCCCTTAATTTACTTTAAGGTAGTTTTGGTTAGCACCATAAACGTTCCAAATACTAAAATAATAACTTTTAAGTTATTAACTTTGTAGTTTTTAACTCATGTTCCAGTTTTGAGATTTTAACTTGCAAAGGGACTACAAAGTAAAAATAATTAAAATGGCTTTAGGTAGCAACCAAAAGTAACTGCTACAAATTAAATTTACTTGAAAGTTTTTGTTACTTATAAAACCTTGTTTTACTTAAATGTTTATTACTTTATAGTAACCATTTATTAAATATTAAATTTTAAGGAAATAATGAAGTTTCTGTTACAAAATATTGCTGTTTAAAAGTTAGAATTACTTTTAAGTAAAAATTAAAGTACCTAGCTGTTTAATATACTTAACTAATTTAAAGTTATCACCACTTTGGTAATGGTTTTTGGAACCAAAAATGCTGCTTGGGATATGTTACAGAATTCTTTTTTGATTTGTATAAACTATAAAAGTTGTAATGCTATAATTAACAACCAAAGTATAAGTTTTAACCTATTATTGCATCAACTAAGCAAAAAGACCACAGTTTATATCCTTTTGGGAAACCAATAAAGGTTTTTATTATGATTACCTTCCATTTTACATGAACAAGTATTAATCCTTTGTAAAATACTTGTCAGTTCCTTAATCAAAGCTGCAGCCTCCTCCCCATCCTTAAGATCAGGCTCGAAAACCAACTCCATCAATGGAATTCCAGCTCGATTCAAATCCACCAAACTCCTATCATCGTCGTGCAGACTCTTACCACTGTCTTGTTCCAGTTGCACCTGCTTAATCTTAACCTCAGTTTTGTAAGGCGTCTTGTGATAGCCAGGCGTATACACTTGAAATGCCAACTTGCCGTTTAAAGCCAATGGACTTCTTTGTTGGGTAATTTGGTAGCCTGAAGGCATGTCAGCATAAAAGTAATGTTTTCTGTCAAAGGTAGATACGGGGTTTATGTTGCAATTAAGCGCTAAGGCTGTCAGTACTCCTGCTTCAACACAGCTCTTGTTTAAAACAGGTAATGTACCTGGAGTCGAACAATCAAATAATGAAACATTGGAGTTAACTGGGGAGGTGAATTTTGTGGAGGAGCCGGAAAATAACTTGCTTTCCGTGAAAATTTGAGCGTGTACTTCTAAACCTACCACGCTTTTCCATTTTTTACTAAAGATATTCAACTTTAAACAATTTTAATTTTTAATAGAAATACATACCTTTTTGCGGTAGAATAACAACGTTTAATCGACTTAAAATTATTAAAAGGTATCATATTAGTTAATTGTATCATTATTACTCCTGTTTAATGGGTAAAAATTCGAAATTTTCAATAAAAATAAATAAGCGAGGTTAGAATTACTTGAGTAGTTTAAATACCTCAACGTATATAAAGTAGTTCAAATGTACCCATCTGTCATTTCAAGAAGAAGAAGATTAACCCAAGAAAAATTGTACCAGAAAAAATATGATTTTACGGAATTTGGATAAAAAATGCCTCTTAAAAACATTGGAGAGGCAATTTGCTAACAATTATGCGACTGTCACTGAAGCTGCGAAAGAATCTAGAGGTGATTTTGCTTTATATTTTCAATATTTAATTTTTTAATATTTGCATTATAGAAGAATTTAAGGCCCTTAATTTAAAACATGTCAAGGGGCAAGTGGTACAAAAAAGGGCCCCCAGAAAATTAGATGTTTTGCCACCAAGGTAATATATTTTCTTATTAATGTACCTTCTAATGCAATAGTTTTATTAGGTCAAAGCAAATGGCCACTGATCAAGATTGGGGTAATGTTTGGCCGGGACCGCGAACCTTTCACCCCTCCACTGTCCCCTTGCCAATAAGACAAGGTTATGTTGAAAAAGGGGCCCCACCAGACAAGTACGCAAATGCTGAATTAATGAAAATCCCTAATTTTTTACACTTAACACCACCAATCATCAAGAGACAATGTGAGGCATTAAAGCAGTTCTGCACACCATGGCCAAAAAATTTAAACACACAGGAAAAACTTATTGAAAATTTTCCCATTGAAGTTACTACCAGTAATTATTGTTTGTCTTCTCCTTCAATTAGAAATCCTTTAGCTAGGATTGTAACGTTAACCATTAAAGTATCAAGTTTAAGTTTAAAAGGGGCTATGGATAAATTTTTGAGGTTGGTTGGTGAGAGATACAATGAAAAAACTGATATTCTTACAATAGTCGCAGACAGGTGTCCATTAAGAAAGCAGAATTATGAGTATGCAATGTATTTGCTTACAGCAGTTTACCATGAATCATTGGTAAGAAATCTTTTAAAATTTATAGTTATTTTCTGTCAAGTAGTTTTTGAGTTTTTAATCTCTGTATGGTTTTTAATAAGAACTTATTAGACCATATTCAAAGATAATTTATAATTTATTTAAAATAGTGAAGCTGAGGTTGACTTTCAAAAAACTTTTAAACATTATTGTAATAACTTTATTATAATATATAATATATTAACAGATTTAACTTTTTAGTTTTAAAGTGACTTTAAAATTGTTTACTATTTTTTTATGTAAAGAGTCTTAAAACTCTTTGGATATAAAAACAACTTTGTTATAAAGTTGTTTTTATATCCACACAGTTAATATGGAGTTTCATCAAGTAAAGGTCGAAACAATTAATTAGTCTTAAAACATTTTTATAATGGAAATAAAATTCAATTATAATTATAACCATGATATACTCTATAGATAAATTCTGAAACCTACCACCTGCTTCTAATAATTAAATATGTTATATTTTAATTGTAGAAAGTTGAGCCCTGGGAAAATTTAAAATCAGAAGCAGATATGGAGTATTACAATTGGGAAAAAAATGCTTCAAAAAAATCAATTGAACAAATCTTTGGTAAACCTGTAGAAGAAATACCTAACTCAAAAATGTATGCTGAGGCAGTAAGCAATTTAATGAATGAAGGTAAGAGTTTTTACTGATAATTAAAAAAAATAATAATAATTTTTTATATTAGGGGAAAGTGATTATACAATTGCAAAATATGGGGAAGCAGTCAGAACTCTTTTAAATCTACCAAAAACAGCCTAGCATATTTTTGTAAATAAAGTATAACTTTAAGAAATATGTTTGTTTTATTCATATTTTTATAAAAAAAATGTTAGTTCCATAGGATTTATTAAAAAAAAAATTATCTTAAACCTTTAGTATTTTAAAGATATTTACTTGTTTTTTATTTTAAAGTGCTTTAAATATATTAACTTTAGTTAATTTTTCTATTTTAAAACTTTGTAGCACCCTGTATAAAAAATGCTCTATATCCCCTATGTAAAGAATCCACTGATGCATATTGTAAAGAAAAGAATAATTGCCCCAATTAATATCAAAATGTCCAAACATACTAAAGGATGTGTTCCAGAGTGTAACTCCTTTTATTTTTATTAACATAAAGACATGACAGACAGTCAAATTAAAACCACCAACCAGAAATACTTTATAAATGGATGTTAGATCCTATATCATATCATTTGATCAAAGTTTTTTGCTATTTGTGCGTCTCCTTAAAAGTGTAATGACATTTTCCCTGTTAAAAATGGAAAAACTCTGGAAACAGCCACATCACAAGTTTTTAAAGCATTTAAACAATCTGAACCATGGCTACAACCAACACCACGGAGGTAAAGTACCAAATAAGTGTGATGTCATATGTTGATTGAAACAGACTTTATTAACTTTTTTTTACTTTTAAATCACAGGGGGGTACAATTGCGGCCACATGAACCATTACGGCGGTCATATGGGTCACTATGGGGGTCATATGGGTCACTATGGGGGCCATCATTATTCACCGGTACCGCAGTACTTTTTGCAGCTTTTTTTGTTTGGTACCACCCTGCTTTTTTCGGTGCTACTCATCATATTATTTGTGGTGCTTAGTAGGGCGACTATAACTCCTGTGGTGAGAGCAAGGAATATCGAGCAATTCCACTTTGAACAATTTGTTTTAAACGCCATCGCTTATTTTACGCGTCTCAACGAAAATCATTAAAAAAATTGGGTGTATGTTTGTAAATAAGAGTTTATTTATTTTAATATTTTAAGATCTATTAATAAATTTATTTGTTAGTAAGTTATTTAATAAAGAAATGTGTAAATAATGCAGTCAGTTTTTTTTAAACAATTTTTGTTGTCGCCCTTATTAAAACCAAAAATCGTTATAAAGTTGTTATTCCTAAGAACATCAAACAAAGTACAAATTAATGTAAATTTGTATCCAATTTCTTTGCTATTTTGCACCTATCACCATGTTTTGTTTTTATAATTATTATTATTATTAATGGCCGCCATAGTTTGATACATTGGATTGGATTCCTTGATTTTTTTTATTAAATAGTGGAAAATTCCAATATGGCGGCCATAGGAAAAACAAAAGATGGTGGTGGTATCTTAAAATCCAGTTGGCGAAAATCACAAATTGGATGAAAATGTAAATAAATGCATGTATCAGAGTACAAGAAAAAAGTACTCGAGTAAAAGTACAAGTACTTTGAAAAAAATATACTTGCACTCATGAGTACAAAGTACAAAAAAATCCAAAAGTACTCACGAGTACAAGTACAAAGTACTTTTTCCAAAAACTCTTAAAATGTAATTTAGGTTTCAGTATCTAGCAAAAAAAGTTGTTAAAAGTTAAAAACAAAATATCAGGTTTTTAAACAGAAAAAAATAATATTTAAATAGTTTAACTATTCTTTTACAATGTAAAAAAGGTTATATGTCATATAACCTTTTTTACCTATAGGTATACCCGAGGGGTCACCCACACCTGGGAATCCCTGGACATTTTAGAGGGGGAATACCATAGGAATACAATGGAAATACATAGGAATACAATAAAATATAATGGGAATACATGGGAATCCCTGGACGTTTTCCCTTTGGGTGGTTGACCCCTCGGGTATACCTACTCATGCAAGTAATTTATTATATATTTTATTTAATAAATAGCCTAAACTTCATTTAACTGCAAGCACGAAATTAAATTAAGTAACATGCATTTTATGACTGCAAAAAAACAAGATTGAATGCAAAAATATAACCTAATTTTTGAAGCGTACCAAATATATGAGTATGAGTATAAGAGACGTATAACCAGCCCCATTTCCTCTTGACTCTCGAACCCCGTACAGGCCTATGTTTACTTACGCCGATTTTTGTTCTTCCCCAGCAACTGCACGGCTTCACCCGTGTTTGCTGGGTGCGAATGTCCATTGCGTTACGTACTGTCCCCTATTTGGGGCTCGAGAGCGAGAGGCGAATAGTTATAATAGCCATTCCCGGGTTCGCCGAGCCTATGCTATACGCTCGGTGGGGTATGGATGAGGGACGGGAGGGAGTTGGTTTTTGGGGGACAATTACGCCGACTTAAAACTAAGTACGACGCGGAATCCCCCTAGACCAGTCGATTAGTATTACTCCAAACATTTGGGATCACTATTTGGAGTTGGGGAGTTGTTATTTCGCTGCAGGGGTGTAGTTTCCTAGTCGATGTCTTTGTCTTGTTCGTTATTGTCATTGTCCGTGTCCTGGTCAGATAGTTCCTGCCCTTGGTAAAGTGTGTCAGTTGTTTTTAATAATTTTTGTCCCAAGCACGTTTTGTGGTAGAGTTCCGTCTTTGTTTATCAAATTCCAAAGCATTGCATTTATTCACTAGTCAAACAAATCACAAGCGCGATTATTCTGTTGTCTAATGTTTACAAACTCGAGTTTGGCTATTAGGCCCTTTTTTTTAATGTGTTAGAATTTTGTTCAATGTTAGTTTACTCTGTCAGTCCAGTGTTTATTTTCCGGCTCGATTGGGTCCGCCTTACGCATTTGAGACTTATTGCCCCACGCTGCGTGCCCTTCTTAGGTTTTAAAGATATCCCACCATTAACATTGCCCGTGTAAGAATTTTTAACACTTTTTAATACAATTTTGCAATGATAGTAATTAAAAACAAAACAATTGTTTAAAGAGTAAAATATGTTCTTCCCTGCCGAAAATGACCCATAGAAACCAATAAGAGAATGAAATGGTTTGTACCGGACTGAATATGTGTATTGGTACTGGTTTTTATTGGTTTCTATATGTCGCCAAATGGTTTTGGGGCTAAATGGGAAATACCCAATCAAACCAATTCAAGACAATTATGTTTTCCAATTGATACCAATTCACCCGATTCAAACCTATAAGACCCAATACATTACAAAATAAATTCCCATTGGTTTCTATTGTTCTTAAAGGGTCATTTTTGGCAGGGTTAACATAATCATATTTTAAAGTCATTTTAACATTTTCAAGTAAAATAAATGTTATGTTTAATGAAATGAATACGGGCAATGTTAATGGTTAATGTTTATATTGCAGATTTGTATCAGGTCATGCATACTCTTAAAGTAAAACTTATCAGATTTTTCCCCTTGCGGATGGCCACCTCCCCTCTTCTCCGACCTCCCCCGTCCGTCCAGTGAAAAGCCTCCAATGACAGGTGGCACCCAAGTCATTCATATCACCCAACACTCCACTCCTCAATGACCGTTACCCCATTTTAGCTTGCACTCCATGAAAATGTTTGTTTCACTTATCAGTTCGCACCCCTTTTTTTTTTAATTATTGTTGGTTTCAACTTTAAACTTTTACGTTACGCGAGTCGCGAGCATTGCTGTTTGTAAGTTTCAAGAGCGCGACGGCAAGATGCAAGATGCGACTAACTTTGACGAGCACTCGAACGAGGGTACCAAATATAACAGTATAACAAAAACCAAAACACTTAAAATAATATTAATACAGATTCTTTATTGCAGAATAATCTCAAATTTCTTGAAAAAAAAAACCATTACATATGACATTATGACGGCACTACCAGAGATAAAAAAGGGCACTACCTCTTGTAATATTACCTATATAAACGGTCTTATATACGTAATATCTCTATAAAGTAGGGCACTACAATGATATTTTACCAATTTATTGCCGAACCGTTAAACTTTAGCTGCTAAAGCATTATAATTATAATTAATTATGGCGATAAATTTGAATATGTAGTGCCACTATAGTAGTGGTTATGTTAACTTAAGACAAAGATGCCGAGTACAAAAGTACTCGAGTACATCAAATGTACTCGAGTACAACAATTGTACTCGTGTACATTTTTAAATTAAATAAGTACAAGTACTTTTTTAAAATGTACTCTGGTCTGAGTACCGAGTACATAAAAAGTACTTAAAGTACAAAATTTGAGTACAAGTACTCGAGTACCGCACAGCTCTGGCATGTATACATGTAAAACTTACTTTTCTTAAAAATTCACAGAAATAATGAAGTTATAACGATTTTTGGTTTTGACAGGTTTTCAATTTTTTTCAAGATTTAAGAACAGCCGATTTTTAATGCAATTTTCAATTTCCATTTTATTACACTTCTAAATACGCAACTTTAGTCCAATTGAACTGACCTTGTAGCTCTTCAAATAAAAAAGATACCCATAATGATACTTGGTGCACCCTGTATAAGCATTGAATAATGAAAAATGTTCTTAATAAACTTTTAAGTTTAGTTATAACAAACTACAGCTAGTGGTATGTTGTAAAAGTTTATTAATAAAATTAAGTATAGGTATATCCAAAAAACTAATCATAAAAAATATATATTACGCTTAAAATTAAAAGTCTTGATCATAAAATCACAATTTTTTATGTACGGTTTTGTATTTCCAATAAAGAATCCCAATCAAAACCGTTTTCTTTATCTTTTAGCTGTACAATTTGTTCTTCTAGAGAACCTAACAGTTTTTTGAATGTTGAATATTGTTTTAAAGTCTCAACGTCTCCAACTAAAATCAGTTTATTTTTTGCTCTTGTTATAGCAACGTTTAAACGTCTTTTGTCCTCCAAAATTTCAAACTAAAAAAAAAAAAATTCATAAAAAAAACACCCGGTATATGAAAACTTACTTCGACATCAGATTTCTTTTTTTCTTCCCTAGATTTTGTACACGAAAAAAATATGAGATTCTTGTCTTTCCCCTGAAATTGATCGACGGTGCTGACATCTATCTTACTGCCTTCCAACGTTGCCGATAGCAGCGCCACCTGCGCCCTAAAAGGCGCTATAACGCCGATATTTGTGTAAGGAACACCAGCCTAAGAAAAAATTGTATGATAAAATTAAATAAAGAAAGAAAAAAATAGTTACCTTTAAAAAGGCATCAACCAATCTGGCAACAATGCTTGCCTCATGTTTATTACTACATTTATTATCTTGTTCGTTTTCACTGGATTGAGTGGTTTTGTGCATTTTCCACGTAGGGCCAGTATCCAAAAATATCACAGAATTGTCCAGATCGTTTTTCAAAATGTTTAATATCCATTTTTCTGTATGCAGATCTTTTTTCACCGATTCTAGGTGAGGTAGGTTGAGTGTGGCATTGGCAACACTGTCGTTGCCTATTTGTAGTTCGCCTTTGTAGGTAAGGGCATTTGCTAGAGTGGTTATAGGTGTGTTCATGCGGAAATTCAGGTTTAAAGCTATGGTTGCTTCTGTAGAGTTCAGTCTGTCAAATATGCTTTCCGTCATACCTAGTTTACTAAAATATGTAAGTATGTAGAGAAAATGTGAAAAAAATATTTTAATTTCTTACACTGCATCTAAACTTTTCACCACTGCTGGTAACTGATCAGGGTCTCCTATCAAAATAAAAGTTTTTGCTGCATATATTGGCCTTATAACAGATGTTTGCAGTACTTGTGTACTTTCATCCACTATACATATATCCATCGTTCTTTTTGACAGAACTGGATGACCAGAACCTAAACATGTTACCGCCAAAACCAGCTGAAATAGGAAAATGTTGAAATTGGGTGCCAATTTTTTGGGGTTTTGACACAATGTGCGTGTATATATTTGAAGGTAAATACATATGTATTTACCTACATACATATGTATTTATTTTAAGGATCAAATTAAGATTTATTTGAATGAGAACCGTCCAAATTTCTACTATTTAGACAAATTAATATGTTTTAAATAATGCTCTGAATATTGTTTTAAGGGTCAAATTTAGTTTTTTTTAAATACAACAGGGCTCCCACGGTTAGATAACAAATTTTATTTAGGAATTTAGTACGTTTTTTGTAAAATTTTAGGAGAAATAAAGTATGCAAATGAATTTCTGTAATTAAATAAAAACAACCCTACACAGTATTTAAACAATAAGAAAAAAATAACAAAAATATAAATAAATATCACTTCTTTTGTACAAATAAGTTACAATGACTTTTTTTTTAGCCAAATCGCTTGACTAGTTTTTTTGTAATAAAATTAAAAGCAAGGTAAAATTACTACTTTTGTAATTTTCTGAGGTATCTATATACACAAGTAGAAATTTCTATGGATTAGAACTAGCTATTTGGCCATTTTAAGCATACGGACAGGAAAATTACAAACCTGTTTTTATAAAAAAAAATGGTAGGTAATTTATTATATATTATTTTTGCATCAAAATTGTCAAATACATTCTTCTTTTAAAAGGCTTTACCTACCTACATTAAATTTAAAAAAAAACGCAAGAAATATTTTATAAAAGCAGAGATAATTGATAGTTGACAGGTGTGGACAGGACAAGATAAATCTTCTTTTTGTCCCATCCACACCTTTTAGTTATTAAAACTATCTCTACTTTTATAAAATATTTCTTGCGTTTTTTTTTTAATTTAATTTATAACCGAATAAAAGAAGAATATTTCTGACAATTTTAATGCCAAAATATTATATAATAAATTATCTACAATTTTTTTTAACACTTTTGTAATTCGTGCGTTTCGCGTGCTTGAAATGGCTGTATTATTTAAATGAAAATTAAAAATACTTTTGCTTGATATGTATAACACGGTGAATTTTTGTCTCAAACAAAATATGGCTAAATATGACAATTTTGTTGTTCTTTAAGAAAAATGTAATATATTTTTTTTATTTAATTAAAAGAATTTAATAAACTAATACCTAAAAATATATATTTTTACATTACTTATTTTTTTTATCACAACTATCTTTATTAGACAGTCAGGTTTGCCTATTTATAAATAATTTTTAGTATTTTTAGGAGATTGATGGCAAATTTAGGGGAATTTTAGGAGTTTTCAAGATTTATCCAAATTTTAGTAATTTTATGAGTTTTAGAAGGTGTGGGAGCCCTGATAAAAACAGTTTAAATTTTTACCATTTCGACAAATTAAAACAAATTTTTGCTTATTAGTTTTGCTTATATAAATATTAGGGTGTGCCAAAAAAACTCGATATTTTTTTTTTCTTGCTCTCCACCAAAAATATCGTATAATATGTCCGAACAAATATTCTGTTAAAAGCGGAGCTCATAATTTCAATTTTAAGAGGTCCCTCATCGAATCTGAAGTTTTGCCGCTTAAATAACACAGAAAACTGACTTTTTTACCTTATTTATTCTTGCAACCTAGGAAGATTTTTTTTTCATTAAATCCATGACTAATTCTTACAAAGCATTAAATTTGGACAAAAAAATCTTATTAAGCCGAATTTCTATTTTCATTATTTGATTTTTACAGAGCTTTAAATGTACAAAAATGATGATACGCCTGTAACTTTTAGAATATTGACGATATAAAAAATTCGCCTAAAACTTTTTTGTGGTCCATTAGACAAGCTAAACAATTGCCATTTGACTTTTGACTTCAATAGTTTAGCTGAAAAAGGCAAAAAACGTAAAATTTTAAATTTAAAGCTCTGTAAAAAATCAAATAATGAAAATAGAAATCCGGCTTAATAAGATTTTTTCGTCCAAGTTTAATGCTTTGTAAGATTTGGTCATGGATTTTATGAAAAAAAAATTTCTTCCTAGGTTGCAAGAATAAATAAGGTAAAAAAGTCAGTTTTCTGTGTTATTTAAGCGGCAAAACTTCAGATTCGATAAGGGACCTCTTAAAATTGAAATTATGAGCTCCGCTTTTAACAGGATATTTGTTCAGACATATTCTACGATATTTTGGGTGGAGAGCAAGAAAAAAAATATTTCGAGTTTTTTTGGCACACCCTAATAAATATAAAAGTATAAAAGAAAACGCAATTTTAAACAACAATGGGGTAGTTAAATTTTTTCTGACCTATACTTTTTATGGTTTTATTTAAGGCGTTTTGTGATATTAAACATTTCTGTGAAATCAGAATTTCAATTGAGTTTACCGTTTTCGAGATATTTACAAAAAATATAAATTTTTATGACGTCACAAACCTCGCCATGTGACCAACATTCTAAGATTTCTATTGGTTGAAAATTACCCTGTTGTCAAGTTGTCTTGTTAATGATTCCATTCGGTTATGTCCAGTTTTGCCAACCCTACCGAATTTTCGGTAGATCTACCGATTTCTGAAAAATTCTACCGATCTACCGATAGACATCATTCTACCGAAAATCTAAATCTTGCAATAATCCAAATAAATGACTTTTTTTTTTATTAAATTGCATTAAAATATTATACTTATACAGTATTATATATTTTTACTAGTATGTGATTAAAAAGGTTTTTACCAACATCATTTGTACAAAAGTCGCACTACGACGGTATCGCAAATTTTCATGATACAAAAAACAGATTTCTATTCTTGCTTTTTGCTGTGTAGATTGGTAAAGTACAGAACATTCAACTTTGTGCAAAAGTTCTCTTGATTTATGTATATTATTAATTTTTTGTATTTGTATTTTTTACAATTTTATTATTTTTTGTTACATTTCTTTTGATAAAAATTCAACTAATGTTAACTAACATAAGTTAAATATGATATTGTTTTTATTAGATATTTTATTTTTATTAAATATTTCCATTTCCTGTTTTTTTTTAACTAAAAATTACACATATATTAAAATCTACCGAAATTTTATCATCATCTACCGAAAATTTCCAAAGAATCTACCGATAAAATGTTCGAAGAGGTTGGCAACACTGGTTATGTCAGAAAATACCTGAAGAGGTTATGTACAAATATTGTCACTGTCAGTTGCACAGATTATACAACTTGAGTGAAAGATGGTCACCAAATTCATTAAGTACCTATCTTCCTTATTACGAGGTATCATATTACTGTTTGATATTTTAGAGTCCAAGATATATCTAAAAGAATATAAAGAACTAGGCATTATACTAACGAAATGCATTTACGACAAAATATGATTATAATTATAGGTACTTTCTTTATTTGTTTAAAAGCTCCAATGTTCAATGTAACCAACCATTCCACAAGATTCCTCTGCTTTGGAGTCCGTTATTAATAAATCACTTATCTAATATCAATTACAAATAACATAACAATAACATTGATTTTCAATAATCTAAATTTAAAAAAAACAACCCGAAAAAAAGAAACGTCAAAAAATCAATTCTTCTTCTTCTCAACTAACGTGGCGCCATCTATCGTAAGAATCTTAAAATAAACACACTGGCAACCATAGAAAAAGCTGGCAACGTTGTCAATAGCCTAGTGACGTAATTAGGAGATTTTTTTTGTAAATATCTCGAAAACGGTAAACTCAATTGAAATTCCGATTTCACAGAAATGTTTAAAATTACAAAACGCCTTGAATAAAACCATAAAAAGTGTAGGTCAGAAAAAATTTAACTAGGTACAGTGGCCGACACGGAATTTTGAACGGCTTTCGTTCAATTAATATTAAAATCTTAACTTCCTTTATGGCCAACTAACCTTACTTCCGGTTATCACTAGTCTTGTCGTTTTGACAGCGAAAGCAAAAATGGGCAATATTGTTTCTTTGCTATTTACAAATTTATACATGGACAACCAAATTATAACGTTCAAAATTCTGTGTCCGCCACTGTACCCCATTATATTATTTTGCAAGATAGTTCAAAATATTAAAAAAAATAATTAAAAATATAATGTTAGTTACCTGGCTGTTGTAAACTTGTTCCAATTCTTCAGGACTATTACAATTTTTTGTAAGATAATGCTCTGAATATTGTTTTAGGTTTGGATTTATTCGAGATTCAGCTCCTAACCTCATAAACTTAACGCCCCATTTTATCAGTCTTGTGCAAACGTTATCGACAGCTGAATGGGTGTGACTCGTTATTATGACACTTTTTCCTAGTTCTACTAAAAGTTGAACTAAAGCTACTATTGTTGTGGTTTTACCTTAAAATGATGATTTTTATAAAAAAATACAATAAAATGTAATTATTCTACCTGTTCCAGGCATTCCCTTAATCAAAAAATAATCCCTAGCGGCTATGGCCTTTAGTACCGCCCTCTGTTGGACCCTGTTTAACCTCTTTAAAATCGGGGTACCTTTGGTGGCAACCACCTTGGGGAGTTTGGTTTCAAAAGTTGGCGTCACCTTGTCTACTATAATTTTTCGTAACTGTTCGGACCTTTCCGTCAACTCCAAAAGTAGAGTCAAACTGGCCATGTTGTAAGTTTGTATGGAATTAGAATCATATGTGTCAATGTGGAATGAGCTGTTCGGGAATTTTTTCGACAAATCCCTAAAATGATGAGAACATTACGATCTGAAACCTCGTTCCAAAAAAATCAAACTTACCTTTCAAGATACACTGTAATAGACTTGGCATCGATGTAATGGACGAAACCAGCGGCAACAGCGGGACGTTTGTCTGTGCTTACTATAACGTAAGCGTTTTCGTTGATTCCGGCAGATAGAAAATTGTAGGAATTGTTAAAGTCTATTTTTTCAAACGAATGTTCGCATATAAAATTCAGTTCTTGGCCCACTTTTGATATTTTCAGGTTTATTATGCACCTTCCATTTGGTTCTCTAAAAAGATATGTGTTGGTAGAAGTATAGTCCGGAAATTACGCTGTACTTTAATGGTATATTCATTTTAACAATTCCCTAGAACTAAACGAATGCACGCGAACAACATCCCAATAAACTTTTTGTATTGCACATGGTAACGATAAGTTATATAAAGGTCATATAAAGGTTGTCAAAGTATATAAGAGTTTAACAAAGTTTTATAAAATCGCCATTTAGTTTACGAGTCCTATAATGGTCATATAAGGTTAGAAAAACCTCTAGGTATATAATTAGGTTATATAATTGTTTCCCTTAACATTTTATATAACCTATATTAACCGTTACCAGTAGTTTAATATAAGTTTATAAAAGAGTTTTATACATTTTGCGGTTAACTGTTTTATAAAACTATTTTCTTTATTTTTTTTTAATAAAAATCGGAAGTTAATAATTATTTAATTAAAACAAAAATCTTTGGTGATTAAAAACCAACGTAAAATATTCAACACTTTGTTTAATGTAAGAAAAAGAAAGATATCCAATTTAAGGGTGATATTTTTTTTAAAGATGCATACCGGGGATATTTTAAAAACTGTTTTGTGAAATTTTGGTAAACTAATAGAGAGGTGAAGGGACATATTTAAACATATTTTTGATACCTACCCCCTTTATTAATTTTGAGGGGCGGGGGTAACTATGGATTTTTAATAGGGATGTTGTATTTTTTTAAAAAAATTCTAATCTACGAAAAAAACTAGGTATGTGTACAAAAAAAGTTTTTATTTACGTTTTCAGTTACTAATTAATTTAAATTATGATTTATGAGATTATAATTATTACTAAAGATTATAATTATTTTAAGATACTAAAAAACAATTTTAATTTATTTATCAATTGTACAAAATTCGTTTAGAAAAAGAGTGAGAAAGTGTTTGGAAGTTGATGGGAGACATAATAAGAATTTCTAAATTAGTTAAAATTAAATTTTTAAAATTTTTTAGTGTCTTATAATTTAATAAATCATAATTCCGTAAGCGAAAGCGTAAATCAAAAATTTTTTTGCACACATACCTACCTAGTTTTTTTGTAGATTCGTTTTTAAGTGCAAAATTCCCAGCCCCTTAAAATGGGGAAAGGGGGTAGGTGTCAAAAATATGTTTTAATATGTCCCCCCACCTCTCTGTTACACAGTAAAAAACATTACAGAATATTACGTTGGCCACATAGTAATCAACGTAATATTCTGTAAAATATTTACCTTTTACAGAATATATTCGGTAAAATCACTCAATCACCGTAATAATTTATGCGTTTGCACAGTAAGAAAAAATTACAGAATATTACGTTGGCCACAGAATTGCCAAGTTTTATTCTGTAAAATATTTACCTTTTACAGAATATATTCGGTAAAGTCACTCAATAACCGTAATAATTTATGCGTTTATTTGAAACACCATATTTTGTATGTAAATATTATATATTTTTATCCGTAATTTTACCAAATATATTTGAAACACGATATATTTTATGTAAATATATTACATATTTTTATCCGTAATTTTACCATCATTTTTTACTGTGTAGTTTACCAAAGATTCACAAAAAAAATAATTTTATTTAAGTTTTGTGCACTTTAATTTGTATTGAGTAAATCTTATATCGTTATATCTTATATGTATAAATTATATATAATTAATATTTTTCTCATACTTGGCTTTTCAAAATATTCACGTTGTTAAACAAGTCTCTATAAATATATCTTATACATAAAATATGACAATAAGAAATTTATATTTTAAATGAGTGAGAGAAAAAAGAAGTTAAATAGTGGTTTTCAAAATATATCTTTTACCTCTAGTTATAAAACTTAGGTTTTATAGTGTTTCTAAACACAGCTAATGATAACCTTCATAAACTCCCCAAATAGGCTCTTTAAAGGCCCCTTTTTTAAGGGCGATATATATATTTCTGTAACCAAATTAAGAAGTTTTATAATTTTGGTGATATAAAATTTATAGCAACGACTATAAAAACCAAAATGTTTATTGGGATGCTATTGGTCAATCGGCTATCACGCGCGAATGTTTATTTATTTTAGTGAGTTGGTGAAATGAACGAGGTACAAAATTTGTGTTTTATTATACCTTTCTGTTGGTGTTTTTGTATAAATTTCCCTTAAACTTTTACCCATTTTGGAATTACAGTTCGATTCCAAGGCCAGTAGAGAGTTCCAATGCATGAAATATTTCAAATGGTCGTCAGAAATGTGATTTAAGGCCTCATTTTGAATGTTTTGAAGAGTTTTATTTGACGAAACGTCTTCTTTATTATACCTAAACAGAATTTTGACATGTTGATAATACATCTAAAAAAATATTATTTTGGGACAAAGGGGCACTATTTGCACAAAAACATGGAATATGATTTTTGAATTTCAAAAATTGGATGGGGATTAACAGAAATTATTTTTTATAAACATTTAATTGTTTGTTAAAGGAGATAAACTTGCCTTATCCCATGGAGGATATATTCTTGGTTTCACACAGATTTCATTTTAGTTGGTTTTACTCTATATTTTTAGTAAAAATATAGAGTAAAAACAACTACAATAAAATCGATTACGAATAATTCGAATATTCGAGTATTTAAATAGAGGTTGAAATCGATTATAAATTATTTGAATATTCAAATACTCGAATATTTGAACATTCAAATACTCGAATATTTGAATACTCGAATATTAAAACACTTTAAGGGTGTCGCAAATAAACTTTTTTCGAATATTTTAATGTCATTTTTATTCAAAAAATTTAGAGCTCTCATAAAAAATATGGTGGCTTTAGAATTTTGAAAATTACAAAAATAATAATTGTAAAAAAAAGTTTTAGCTTAAAAAATTAATTTTTTAAAGGTCGCTCATAAATTTTACAAAACTTAAAAAAAAATCGATATAGTCGCTTCGTTTTGGACACTAGCGAAAAGCAATGAGTAATTATTAATTACTCATTAATAGGTATTCGTAGGCAGCCCGCAATTTTAATCTAGAATTTCTAGCCAAAAAGACCAAAATCCGAAGGTAAAGGCAACTTGCCTATATCTACTAGATATTATCTAGGGTGTAAGTAGATTTACCTTCAGAGCTGAAACTTTAGGCACTTATTACAAAAAATTTCCGTGGCAAGGAAAAAAATGTTAGAATTTTGACCGAAAAATTGTTAGAATTTTAAGTCAAAATTTTTAACAATTTTTTGAAAAATTCCCAGCCTTAATTTTTACCTTATGAAAGATGCACATATAACGTTATAGGCGCAATTCTGACAGGCCCTGTGGTTTATGGGTTCTGGCAGTTCTGGTACAGTAACATTAGTTATTTTGGTGTTGGTATCTACAGTTAAAACAGGGTTTCTGTTTAGGTAGTAGGCAAGTTCGTTTCTGAGCATCATTATGTCGCGTTGTTCCTGAGTTGACATCGGGATTTCCTTTAGAACTCCTTCCCTGAAGTCGAAAAAGTAAAAAATGGCAAAAGGGCGAATTTTCGTTAAATGTACATTTTGTATATATATTTTTTCCTTTGTGATAGAACAGTGTAATATACTGCAAAAAAATTCTATAAGTTTATAAATAACAAAATAACAAATAAAACTTATAAGGTAAATCTGAAATAGGGAAGGAACACAAGGAAGAAATTAAACATTGTCCTCCTCCTAACGCATCTTCCTGAACGTTTTATGACACATTGCTTTTGACTTTTTCAAACGTTATTTTTCAGAAATAATGTTAAATGTAAATATCTTTCGGCATTTGTTTGGAATTTCTACTATGCTATAATACAAAATGAAAATAAAAAAGTTAACTTCTAAAACAAGAGTTTTATGTAGCGTTTTGTAAAATACACCAAAAGTGTACGCAAAAAAATCTTACCTTTAAAATATTTATAAAAAAATTCATACACTTTACACGTGCTCACTTGTTGTTGCCGAACTATCAAACATGTATGCCCTCTAGAAATAACATTATAGTATCTCTATCTCGTGTCTCTATTTCGAAGCAGTCGGCATAGAAGACGACGTTAGGAAAAAGACAAGATTTTTGAATGTCAACTTTAATATTTTTTTCTGTTTAAACTACTTTGTAGAAATCTATTTTATTTTTATATACGAATAAAAGAACTTTCCATTGTTCAAAAATAATTTATTTTTTCAGAAGAAACCTGCAAAAAAAAAGAATATAATAATTTAAATTAAAAAATCGCCTCTGGGGACAGTTAGGTTACAGGACATTTCACCTAGTTTTTCTGCCATATATAGAAACATAAAGTAATTACAAAAAAAAATTCGATGGGTCCTAACAGGAAGGGGGTATTTAAATATAATAAATACAAAACTTATCAACAAAGGTCAAAAATATAAATAAAATTAGCTGGGGACAGCAAATGTACATTTAACGAAAATTTGCCCAAAAACATTACATTTTCTTACCTCAAATAGAGTAACAATCCAGCAGGTACCTCGTACCCCAACTTATTCATCATCATAACATACAACATGACCTGCCCCCTGTGTTCCAAACTGCAACTAGCTCGTCCAGTTTTCAGCTCCAAAGGCATGACCTTTTTGTCGCCCGTCTCGATCGTGACGTCCACTTTGCCTTTCAGTCCCAATTCCGGGCACCAAATGTTCTCCTCGATATCGGCAACGTTGCTTATAACGCCCGGCCACTGATCGGATTTTTTTGCGTTTGGCGCGAGGTTCGAAGATTTGACGTACGTTTCCATAAATTCAAGAACGCGAGGCACGAATTTTTCTATTTCTTTTTCTAGGTCCGAAATCGTCATCCCACACTCGTACAAACGTCTAACCTATAGATAATAATAATAAAAAACAATTGTGACTTTAATCCAAGTCACAATTATCTTTTTTACCGTTTGGTTTCTATTTTGAAGTTCCCTGGCGAGTTTTTGTATTTCCTTGTGAGTTCTGGCTTTTTGATTTAAAGCAGTTTGCAGTAAATCATGGATAATGCTCCCAACTATCATGAAATGATTGGTTGGTTCAAAACCGTGAAACCTTTCCTGCAGGACGCTTTTTCTTTTGCAAAATACGGAATCTAAAAAACGGTAAAAAATAGTATACAGCCCGGACAACAATCAAGATTTCCTGGTGAAGTCATGATGATATCACAACGTGATTTTTTTTTATCACGCTGTGATATCCTGAATGCATACACATGCTTCATCACAGTGATATCATGTAGAACTCACGGTGTGATATTTGAAAAATTTGCGCATGCGTATGAGCCCTGCGAACTGCGAATTTAAGACCTAGTTTGTTATTCACATTACACCGTTATAATTTATAAAACGTTATTTGAATATCACGAATGTTGTCCGGGTTCAATTAAAAAAGATATTCAATGTTTAACAAATCGTGAACGTTTGGAATATCTTTTTTAATTGAACCCGGACAACCTTCTTGATATTCATACCAACATCATGTCGTGATTTTCACAAATTTTATTCATACTTATATTATACGGAAGTCACCGCGTGATAAATGAAAATCATACGAACGTCACGTCGTGATTTTCACAAATTTTATGAAAATCATGTCGTGATTTTTTATGCCATCACTGTTTGCGATTTACCGATGGCCTAAAACATCACGACATGATTTTTTATGCTATCGGTGTTTAGGCATAAAAAATCACGAGATGATTGTTTATGCCATCGGTGCACCGACATGTTTGGATATTTATTTTTGCGCCACATTCGTACATTGAAAGAAAAAGTGTGTTAACAATTGAATTACCAGTTTTTGCGGTCAAATACATTTAATATTTTCTTGGATGTAAATTAACTAATAATTTTAATCCAAAAAAATATTGAATTTATTTAACCACAAAAACTGTTGATTCAATATATGTAGGTATACTTTTTCTCTCATGTACGAATGTTATGCAAAAATAAATATCCAAACACCGATGGCATACAAAATCACGACATGATTTTTTATGCCATCGGTGTTTGGTCATAAAAAATCAAGACATGATTTTTTATGCCATCGGTGTTTGGATATTCATTTTTGCGACACATTCGTACATTGAAAGAAAAATTATGTTAACAATTGAATCAACAGTTTAACATTCAATATTTTCTTGGATTTAACATCATTTTTCTCTTAGTGTACGAACGTAGCGCAAAAATGATTATCCAAACACCGTTGGCATAAAAAATCACGACATGATTTTTTGTGCCATCGGTCAATCGCAAACAGCGATGGCATAAAAAATCACGACATGATTTTCATTTCTCACGCAGTGACATCCATGATGTCCGTATGAAAAAATTTTGTGAAAATCACGACGTGACCTTCGTATGATTTTCATTTATATACAAAAAAAAAAGTTTATATACAAAAGTGCTCTTTTTAGTTTTTATCACGCGGTGACTTCCGTATGATATCAGTATGAATAAAATTTGTGAAAATCACGACATGATGTTCGTATGAATATCACGAATGTTGTCCGGGAGTGTCCCAAAAAATACCACGTGATAGAGGTCATTTAAGTACATCATTATACTGTACCTTCATTTGCAAGCTATACATAGGGAAAATACATTGTAGGTAGACCAGACAAGTTGAAGTCAGCGCAAAGCGAAAAAGTTCTCAGAAATTATTTGGACGTAATAAAATTTTAATCGCCAGTAAACAAGGTCACCTGTTACGTCACATGTTAGTCTACTCATCCACTCGTCAAAATAATTTCTGGGGACATTTTCGTTTCGCGCTGACCGCGCCGACTTCGACTTGTCTGTTCCACCTACAATGTATTTTCCCTATGTATAACTTGCAAATGAAGGTACGGTATATATTTCTTTTCAGTTAAAATTTTTGTTAAGTTATACTACCTTTTATTTGACAAGTGGATATTGAATCTTTAAAATTTATAATGAGGTATAAAAAGGGTAAAAAAATACTACCTCTTTACTTTTCAAAAATAATAAGTTAAAATTTTTTGACAAGTAGTTATTGAATCTTTAAATTTTATAATTAGAAATATAGGTACAGATGTAAAAAAACGGTTTTTTTTCAGATGTAAAAAAAACATTTTGTTTTTTTTCAAATCCGCTACAATAAAGCATATTCTGTCAATAAAAATCATCAATCTTAAAAAATTAAGTAATTTTTAAAAATGAAATTTTGAGTAAAATGTATATTAATAATGAAGTGAAATGTAGAATATATTACATTTTTTATTATTGAAAATTTTGACAGAGACTAAAAAATCTGATTTCTTATTATTTGGTAGTTTCCACATAAGAAACCAATAGCAATGTAAAACTTCTACACTAATAGAAAAAATTAAAGGATAAATTTTTTTTTTGTGATTTTTCGGATAGCTGTATCTTCGTTAAAAATGGTCGTATTTCAGCCGTAAAAAAAGCAATTTGAAGCTTGAAGTTTCTAGTTTTGAGATTTTTATATGGAAAACGTGCAACGCTCAATCCTAACAAATACCGTAATAAAAAAAATCGAAATTTTTTTGGCTTTCTTTTTGGTCCACGGAATGTTATGACTTAACCACCAATGAATAAATGTTCTACAAGAATTTGCTATTGTTTTTTTGAAAAAAGGGCTTTTGGTAGATTTTTGAAAAATCAAGCGCTGAATCAAAAATATTATAGGTAGTTACTTTATTTAGGACCAAATCAAAACAAGCGCGGCCCTTATTGGTCAATTCGGTGGTGGTGGCGCGTGCATGGCGCGAGACTATTTACATTTACTTACTAAATGTCATTTAGTGGCTAATTTTAGTCCTTGCACTGGCAAATTAGGCAAATGGGACTAATCTTGAAAAAGAAACTAAAATATAAAAAAAACCTGAAAAAAAACCGGACCGTTTTTTTTCAAGTCGCATCTCTAGATGGTAATAGGGCACCCAAAACAAATTCTAATGACATTTTAAAAGCTTTCCGGCACAAACCAAACAATCAACAGAACATCAGCGCCCTCTAATCTAGGGAAGGTTTTTGTATATATAAAATTCGTACTCCTTGTATAGGCTTCATCTTCAAACACTTCAAATCTTATGTTCTGTGCTTTAAATGGTCTACCTTAAGGTAGTGCCAATGTAGTAAAAATAAACCTTTCTTATTTTAATAAAGAAATTAATACTTTATTACAAATTAAAGTATTATTAAAAACTAAAAACAACCAATATAATAAGTAAATAAGTAACAATATAAATTGTTAATTTGTTGTTATTATGGCAAAATTAAGGTTTAAAACTGTTATATTTTTTAAGTTGGCATCACAAAATATAAAATAACAATTTTAAATTGCTAAAAAATTGTTTTTAGATTTTCATAAAAAATATATTGTAATCAATTTTAACACTTGGGCAGAAGTGTTATTTCCCACAGATTTCCAATAAATAATTTCAAAAATTCGTTTCCAAATCCGAGAAACAAATCCTATTATAGCTATTTTGTTAATGTTGATGGCTTAAAAATTATTTTTTAAGTATATTTTTTATGGAAATCTCATAAGCAAACTCAATTTTTGACACAATGTCAAAAATTACATCTGAATTGTTTGGAAGTCATATTTTAGCTTAACAAGAAAAAAAATTAATTTGAGGTATTAAAAAGATACATACTGACAACCGATGTAGAAGAAACCAAAAAATCTGGTTCAAATACCACTAAACCAAAGTTGTTATCGACACACCATTCATTATCCACACTCTTTTTAGCTGTTACATATACAGTATCATTCACATTTAAATTTGTATGAATCCTAAAAATAATTAAAAAGTAAAAATAAAAAACTTTATCAAAATCAAAAATCTATCTTACCAAAAACCTTGCAAACTACACTTTCCTGTTTCTTTAGTTTTGGTAGATATTAATTTTAGAATGGTTTTTGTGTGTAATTTTTCAATGTCCACTATTTTACAGTGCTGAGATTCCTCTAAATTTATTGTGTTAGTGTCTATTTCATCAATTTGAGACTAAAAAGAAAAACTTTTTTATTTTGACATAGTAGTCACTACAAAACAAAATAATTTGACAGAAAGCATCTGTCAAAATTTATAATTTAACAAAAACCTTTTGTATTATAATTTGTAACAGAAAATACAAACAAATTAATATAATTCACTGACACTGATTTCAAAACCAAAATCTTCATCCCAAAATTCATCAAAATTCTCTTCCTTGACATTTTTGACAGTTTCACTTGTTACACAACTGTCATTTTTGCTTGTGTCAGCAAAATCTAACCTATATTTTGCCTTTTTAACAGCACTTGATTCATTATTCGATGATTTACCAGGAGTCTGTTTTCTTGGTGTATGCTCATTTGTATTTTGGGCTTTTTCAGACCTAAAAGAATAAATTTATATTTATTTAAAGTTGGCATTTAAGATATATTTATATTAACATGACATTGTTAAGACATTTATATCCAACTTAAGCTGGATTAAGTTAATATTCTTAACTTAAGAATCTTAAGCTTAAGTTGACATTCTTAATACAGTTATTTCTAGCTATATTTGACACTCTTAAGACAGTTATAAATATCTAGCTAGAGTTGACATTGTTAAATTTATCTTAAATTGATATTCTTAAGATAAATCTATAACTATAGTTATACCTCACTTAATTTTAACACCTATTTTGTTTCAGAATTTCCATAAATGTGGACAATTTTATAACATTTTTTGATTTATTTTGTGTCAAAAAATTACTTACGTTTTAGACATTTTTGGAGACATAAATTGTTTAATTGAACACTGCTTTTTTTCAGAACTTTTAACAAACTGAACATCACTTTCTTTTTTACAAGATTTACTTGGTGTAATTTTTACAAACTTCTCCATAATTTCTACATTAAATTCAGCCAATTTTTCTGGTGTTTTCTCAAACAATTTTTTTGGTGTTCTTTTACCTTTCAATGGTGTTTTCTCTGCTTCTTTCTTTATATTACCTACATTTGGAGAATTTTCGTTTTTTTGGTTATTTTTTTTATTGGGGGTTTTTTTGTTGGGTGTTTTTTCTTTCTTAGGCAATGTAACAATAAAATCATCTGGATTAAAACACAATTTTTTCGTAGCTGGTGATTTTAAAAATGGTATTTTTTCTGGTGTTAAATAGGCTTTATATGCACTTGGTGTTAGTAATTTTTCTGGGGTTTTTACAGTTAATATTTGTTTTGTAGGGGTTACTGGAAATTCACAGGTACTTGGTTTTTCATCTGTTTCTTCAATTGTTATTATATCATTATTCACTTTTTTCTTATTTGAGTTTAAAACCCTGTTTTCCAATTTTCGTTTTCTTGAATTGGGTGATTTTATTTCGTGTTTTGAACCACTCGTACTGGGTTTTATACTTTTACTTTGTTCTATCACTGGATTACTTATTACAAAATCGTCATCACTGTCTATACTAATAACTTCTGTATTTTTAGGCTTATCTGTTTTCTTTGTAAAAAAACTTGATATTTTATAATTTCCATTTGTTGCCTACATGTAATTTTTTGTTAATTTTATGTGTAACTCTTTTTATACTAACTTACCGAGCTTTTATGCATTGCTAAATGTGTTTTCTTCATATTTTTAACACTATTTTACATTATTGTAACAACACTATTGTTGATTTTGCGCCATTTGACAGATTTCGCGCCAAATTTGACGTTTAAGTGTCAAATAGGTCAGCTGACTACAGATTTCTGCATTACCAATATCAACAAGGAATATGTATTTTCTTCCTTATTTTATGGTTTACAGAGATTCTGTTTTACTAATTTAGATTAAAGAGCATGTTTATTGTTTTAAAATATCTTAAAAATTAACATAAATTATCAAAAAACAAATTGCTCTGCATGCTGATGGCACCTGACGGCAAAAGCACGAACTAAATCCATATAGAAACACGACTAAATCTTACAGTTTTCGTCTTTAACGACAGAAACAAATAAAAAAATCCAAGAACTGTCAAATCTTGTTATGTACTTTAGCAAACTATTAAGCTTTAGCTTCGAACTAAACATAAATAATTGATTAATTTCGCGTCTTGCGGCGTATATACTGTAGCGTGTTTTTTGGTGTTAGTTTTTTCGTGGCAATTTTAAGTGTTAAAGTGTGTTAAAAAAAATGGCAACAAATATGGATGAGGATCAAGCACTTCGCGACTGCGAAAACTACGTGCAAAGTAACAATATCCAGCAAATGTTGAAGGACTGCATTGTGCAGCTGTGCGTGAATCGTCCTGCGAATCCTGTGGCTTTTTTGAGGGAGCATTTCCAGAAGCTGGAAAGGGTAAGTATCACCCTGTTTTGACATTGTTTTTTTAATTTTAAATCGGTAATAGGAGTTTATTACCATGGGTTGGTTTATGGTTTTAGTCACAGAACATAATGAATGGAATTTGTTTTAATTGAGTTAACATTTGACATTTGTTTACTTTATATTGGAAGCTGTCAGTGCCATTGGGATAAAAGTAACGTTTTTGGAGGCATTTTGTTGTTGATTTAAGTTTTTTATGGCATTTTTATAAAAAATATTGACTGAAGTTGTTGGTAAAATTTTTATTTTTTGATTTATTGATGGTATTCTATGCAGGTGGAGAAATATAAGTTACCTAGTTTATTATAGAAATAAAAAATGAGGGTTTATAAATTAAACTATTAATTTCACCCTCATTTTTTAATTATGTAATAAACTAGGTAACCCATACCTATTTAGAGTAAAAAAATTCAGACTTTAAATGTTTTTAACATAATAAAAATTATGATTTTCCTTAAATATGAGCTAAACCGGATGTCAAAAATAAGCCATATGAAAGGAAAACACAAAACAAAATGAGCTGTCATTATTCATTTTTCATTTTCATTTTTGACATCTGCCATGTATGCTCCACAATCCACAATGTGGATTTTGGTATGCTCCATGACATCTGCCTTGGCTCAATTCTGACATCTGTCACCTAATATTTTTGACATTGTCACATGTCATTAAAAAAACGCGCAGTTTTTATTCATATTAAAGTAAATGCTTTTTTTCTCAGCTCCTAGGCAGAAATCCAAGATCATTTTTTTCTGGAAGTAGTGGTATATTATCTTAACAACATATAAAAATTTAAAACATGTGGTCATGATCAAACATGTCAAAAATATTCTTAAATTTTTTTCAGCAAACCATAGATTAACAAATTTTCATTACATTTTTGAAATCAGCTTAAAAAGTAACCCCTAGAAACTACTTTAATTACTATTTCTCTCTTATTAATTACGTATTGTAGAACCTTAAAAATTAAGATTTGTGGTTATCATGGCTTATAAATTATCTATTTGAAAAAAATTTGAGCACTGTTTCTTTTTATTTATAACCAGGGCCGGATTTAGGACAGGGCCAGCGGGGCCACGGCCCCAGGCCCCCCACCATTTAGGGGCCCCCACCAATGCAATATGTAGCTTTTTAATGAAACGAATATGAAAAAAATTATCAAAAAAATAAAAAATTGGGTCGGTTATACCGCGCGAATTCTTTAATTTTTCGTAGATCTAACTATCACACTCAAAGTTTTGGCGCGCGAAGACGTTTTTATGTAGTTTATAGTCATAAGTTATGACTCAAAACAATTGCTCCTTTAGTGCTTTTCGTAACTTTTTTGTAAATACAGGCAAACAGTCGATTACTTATACCTAATCTAATATTAAAGTTAGTTTTTGTCCCAGATTTTTATTGGTACATTGGAGTGTTGTGGAATATTTTCCGGTGTTTCCGAAATAATGTTTTGTTCTTTTCTTTGGACAAAACATTGTTTTATTATTGATGATTTTGTATGAAAAACAGACAAATAATACGACTTTTGATGCACTTTTTTTCAGTTTGCGAAAAGTATTAAAAATACAAGCAAAACATACATCAATTTATATTTTACTTGAGTAAAATATATATAAGGTTATGTTCGTATTATTCAAAATATATAAAATATAAAGTATATACAAACACTTTCATTCACAATTCTATTCTACTATCTACGTTTTTATAGTTTTGCATACGAATTTATAATTTCTCAGACTTGGGTAAAATGTATATGGTTATGTTCGTATTATTCAAAATATACAGGGTGATTCAGACTTGTGGTGATAAAAGCTCAGTGGAAATTCATCAAAATATGAAAAAAAGTTCCTATAAACACGTGTCCGAAAAAGCTTCATTATCGAGATATAGGGTTTTTCGTTTAAAAAAAATTAGTTTTGGCCGATTTTATTAAAAATTTATATGGTTTATTAAATAATAAATGATTCAAGGATAATAAAAAATCACGTAAAGTTCCTCTAGCTTAAAAGTTTACCATGAGTTTTAAAGTGTCAATTTTTTTTAGAAATATTGAGGGCCCCCACCAAATGTCGGCCCCAGGGCCCCAAAACTCTTAATCCGGCCCTGTTTATAACCAAAAAATTAAATTGGAGATTCTTGATTATTTTTAATCCTAGGTATATCCTATATATTTTAAATAACATTTTTTTAAATTTTTTCATTATTTTGACTTTTGGATTATTTTTTAGAAATTTATGTATAATTTAGTGTTTTTTTACAATATTCATGATTTTTTCAGTATTTCAGTAGGTATTCTCTTACATTGTATTTTTTAACTTTTTAAGAGAATATATTTATACTTGGGTATAAAAAAAATGTCTATATTTTTAAAATATAGACATTTTTTTTCTGCTCCACTTTTATAACGCACATTATACTACAGTGGTGCCACCACTGTGGTGGACACAGAATTTTGAACATCATAATTTGGTCTTCCTTGTGTGATTCTGTAAATAGCCAAGATTTTTGCTTTTGCTGTTAAAATTACAAGAATAGTGATAACCAGTATTAAGGTTAGTTGCCCCTACAGGCAGTTTTAGATTTTGATGTTAACGGAATGATCAGTCTTTTAAATACAAATTGAGAAGCTATGGCTTTATGGCGTTTAGTCACGGGCTAAAGTTAGCAGCAGTAGCTTTTGGGCGTTTTAGTCACGGCCTAAAGTTATCTTTTAGTTAGTTGACAGTAACTGTTGTCAAATGTCATACAATCATCAAAATAAATTGCTCTTCTTGTAAACTAATAGAAACTACCCAGGTAGCACAACGTGACGAAACCGTGACGATTTGTGTCCAATTGGACACAATGGACACAAATCGTCACGGTTTCGTCACGTTGTGCTACCTGGGTACTAAAATGTGGAAATTATTTTTTTATCTTAAAATACCTACAACAATACAAAATTATTAAATAGTTTTTGACGCCAATCTTTAAAAAGTTTATATGCATCTACTGACCTTTTAATTTTACCGGCAGAAAACGAGTAATTGCCGATAAAGTATTAATAATTTCGGATAAAGTACCCATAAAAACATCCTCTTCACTTTTACTGTGAAAATAGGTACCTATATCGGATTTAAACGGTTATAAGTCTATTTTCAAGGGAGAAATTTAAATTTTTACAGGAAAATTCGAAAAACACACTGGCATTTTTAAAACCGGTAAAACAGATTCCCAACACCAATTTTTCGTTACTTTATTTTTGTAAGGATGTAGCTGTATAAAAATATTTAAATTAATTACTTAGTAATAAATAATTTTTATCTCTAATATTATTTGTCGTTGACAAAGTATAGTATGCAACTAGTTTGTAACCTTTTCTATCCACTCATTTTTATTAAACACTCGCTTGGAAGCTTAGCTTGTGCCTAATTAGAATTCGTGACTAAAATTCCGTTTATCAAATTTAATACATAATATACTATTGAAATGCCGTTTCAAAAATAAAAATTTATAATTACTTATAATAATAATAATAAGTTATTACAATCATAATACCTAAAGTTCATTTTTTTATCTGGACTGCGGCAACGTTGCAAATTTAGAGTTTTGGTTGGTAAATACAGTTGTCTAGTTGAGTTGTCGAAATTCGTAGTTAAAAATGCAATTAATTTGGCTTTGGTGGTGCTTGGATGAGTAAAATCATATAAAAAAGTAGTAAATATAGGTCGCTTTACGGCTCAGAAGAGAACGTATTCCTAGCGGATAATAATCTTCGCGTTGAAAAGAATTTATATAAAAGAAATTAAATTTTTTTGTGTAAAGGTTGTTCAATGGTGAATAATATGAAAATAATGTGTGATGTAATATTTATAAAACCAAATTCGTTACTTTTTACTCCAAAAATGTACATAAGGCGATGTACTTTTTCTTCCATTGTGGCATTGGGCATAATTTCATCAAAATGAAGTTTTGCCCTCAAAAGGGCTTTTACATTCGAATTCGTTGCTATTATTTTTGGCATAATTATCTTTTTATTTATTGACAAGTAAATTATCAATAATAAATATTGTCAATTTGACAGTGTCAAAGTATTTAATTAAATTCTTTAGCAGAAGTACCATTTTAAAATACTAAAAATACTAAGTCAATTTGGCATAAGCCACCAACCTAACAAAAAAACACTAGTCCAGATAAAAAAAAATGAACAGTAAAGCCTAAATTATAGATTGCCTTCCTTCCTTCCTCCCGTAGTCGTGCCCGTACGATTTGTGCGTCTTGTAAAAAGTCAATTTATAGATTTCCGTGTAAAATTCCGTAACCATGCGCGATGACACCTAAAATGGTTGACATTTATTTTTGTTTATATTTTTTCTTACTACCTCGACTCAAAATACGTTGTTTCGTCCCCGATTTCACGGCAGAAAGTTTACGTTTCTTGCATTGGTCAAGCTATACGCGCACACTCTAATAGCGGGAGTAAAAATTTTTTAGTCGCGTGCTTAACATTTAAATTTCGTACTGCCAACATGAGAAACACAAAAATATGACAGTTTTAAACCATAATTTTGCAATTATAACAACAAATAAACAATTTATGTTTTTACTTTTTTACTTTTTATGTTGTTTTAAGTGTTTAATGGTACTTTTATTTGTTATAAAGTAGTAATTTGTTAATTAAAATACAACCTTTTATTTTTACTGTATTGGCACCGCTGAATTACCATGACAACGCTACAGTTTGATTGATTTTGAATGTAAACGTCAGAATTAAATTAAACGTCAGATTTTAATTTTGACACAATTTTTTTTATATACATTTAATTTTTTCCCGTATTTTCTGCAGGGTAGTAAGAAAAATAGTATACACTACACGGGCAGAAAGTGTGAGAGTCCTGAACTGCGCGCCATGATGCCCTCGGCTTCGCCTCGGGCATCATGGCGCGCAGTGCAGGAATCTCACACTTTCTGCCCTTGTAGTGTAATATACTATT